CAGGTTGGCTCCTACAAGAAAGGCACAATGACAACTGGCCATAATGTAGCGGACCTGGTCGTGATTCTCAAGATCCTCCCCACGTGTAAGTGCATTCATACAAGCAATTTCACATAACAATACGGTGGTTCAGGAAGGGCTACATCGGGGTTGGGTGGTCACAGGCATTGTTCTACAAAAATGTTAATGAAAACATTACAGCGGTTAGGTGTGTTTTGCTATTACACCTGGGCCCATTGTCATGGAAACGCTCTCCGGGTGGGTTAAGACTTACTCTTAACTGTCCAGTGGAAATGAGGCTTATTTTTAGGGATTTCTTTACACTAGTCGGGAACAGTTTGCTGGGCAATGATTATGGAGGGTAACTAAGTAACTGCTATGACTCATTTCAGATATAAACTTGTGGAATTTTGCATCCCCTGCATAGTCTTAGTAAGGTCACCTCCATGTCATTGTTGACATTTCTGTCGTTAGCTGTGGCGTCATTTAACCATTATAGAATTTGTCCTCCAACAATAGCAGTTTCCTTGGTCATCTTGTCTCACGGAAGTGGTATGCTGTGTACTTCATATTTTATCTTGACCAGTTTGTCTCAAAGCTGTTCTTTCTAGTACCTTGTGTGGAAGCATAGTCAGCCTTGAATTGTCAATACTAACGCAGTGTTGAGCATTCCCGGGTCCCAGTCTGATGGCAAATAAACTTCTCCTGCCTCAGATATCCAGAGTCTCTACTTTTTTCCCTAACACAAACTATCTACTAAAGTGCTTCAGTCTGCTGTTTAGTTATTACAGTTTGTATTTTCAAGCCATATTGTACATTTAGAATACATCTATTTTTTGGGTATTATTCTACTTTAGTGTGTTAGTGGCATAAATTTGTTTCAGTATTGTAGTTTGTCTTTATTTCATTCAGCTATATATTATCAAGACAGGACTATGTCCTCTAAAAAGTTATCCACACATCCTTTTCATGCAATAAAATTTCCAGTTTTCCACATTTTCTAATAATTTCTACCAGCTTTTACATAGATTTTGGCATTTAACCAAAACTGAAGTGTCCATTATTGTGTCATTATATTTATGTCCTTATGATCTTGTGTTTTTCTGTCTGTTTTTTCAGTGGAGGCTGTAGCTGCTCTGGGAAACAAAGTGGTGGAGACGCTGCGTGCCCAGGACCCAACAGAAGGTATTGTGGGTGGTGTAAAGTTTCTTGTGTCATTTTCCATATCTAATGAAGTCTCTGGTCCCTCTAGTGCTGTCCATGCTAACCAATGAGACAGGTTTTGAAATCAGCTCTGCAGATGCTACAGTGAAGATATTGATCACCACTGTTCCTCCAAACCTGCGCAAACTGGACCCTGAGCTCCACTGTAAGAGCCCTCACATCAGCTCCACTGTGCTCCTCTGACACTATTCTCTGCTCTCACATCACCTCCACTGTGCTCCTCTCACACTCTGCCTCCTTGTTGTTTCAGTGGACATCAAGGTTCTCCAAAGCGCCCTGGCAGCCATCCGTCATGCTCGCTGGTTTGAGGAAAACGCCTCTCAGTCTACGTAAGTTTTGACATGACAAACTCTGGTTAAAGGCTAAAGGCCACATATTTGTCAAAATGGACCTTTTGGAGATTTTAACCATGTATGTTCTTGCATCATAAAAACATAACTGGAGTTGTATTTTGTTTTTTCCATTCATGTTTCTTCTGAGGTTGTTTTCACACGGTTCTGCGCTCTGTGGACGAACCACTGCGTGTGAGATTTAGTCCTGTTTACTTCACGTTTGCTCTTTTCTTAGACATGTGGCTAAATTTACAGTGAGGACTAATACATGCTGCTGACACAGGAGAAGCTTTTTATCCAATTCCAAAAACTTATTTGCACTGTGGATTGCATAGGTTGGTATGAGGTTAGCTGCATTCATACCGCACTCACCCTGGACTGGAGCGGACACAGCGAATGATCTTTTAAATTTACAAGTGGCAGTGTGAAAACGACCTGAACCTTAGAAAATATCGTTTCAAATTTCCCTTGACTGTGCCCTCATACATACAATCCTGAGGGATCAAAAGCCAGTCCTGTTAGGTCTGAACTCTAGGCTTCATGCTTTTACTAAAAATAAATTGGACTGTTTTTTTTTTTGTTTTTTTTCATCAAAATGTCAAAAAAATCCACCAGATTTCAGCCTATTTGGTAAAAGATTAATTCAAAAAGTCCCTGTGTGCAATAGAACTAATCGTTTTATTGTTCGAACAATAAAAAAATCTGGCTAGTTGACTACTAAAATAAATGCAATAATTGGTTGCACCCCTACCTGTGAACTTTATTACAATGGCCCAAGTTGATTGACGATTAGCAATGACTGAATCTCGATCTGAATCAATAAAAAAGTAAAAGCTTTGACCCAAATACTGTAAAAATAATTTTTTGGCAAATGTTTGAAATTGGCAATTTTAGATGTAGTTTTATCTTGACAGGGTGAAGGTGCTGATCAGACTGCTGAAAGACCTGCGCCTGCGTTTCCCTGGCTTCGAGCCGCTCACTCCCTGGATCCTGGATCTGCTGGTATGTCCTGTTAGCTTTGTGCTGATTGAATGTGCTGATTATGTGGCTTTGTATTAAATTGCTCTTTGTGATACAGGGACATTCTGCTGTAATGAACAACCCCTCCAGACAACCCCTGTCTCTCAATGTGGCTTACAGGTCAGTCCTGCATCTGGATTAGGCTCTAGTACAGACTTCATATCCTGAATACAAACCTTCATGGTTTGATGAGGCAGATCTGAACCTGCTCAGATGCAGATTATCCCTTACACTGCATACATTGCTGCAAGTTTAAAGAATTACTTTTCTGTTAGCCTAAAGCAGGGTAACCCAAAGTGCAGAGATGGTGTGATTTGTAAGGAATATCTATTTTGATTTAGGTTTTGAAGATTATAAGTAGTAGGAAACAAGACCGAATTGGTATATTTCCTTCAAAACACAACTATAAGGCAATTTAATAATTTCTTTGCAGACTTAATAAAAATGCAACAATTGTTGATGCATATTGATTTTGGCCTGTCAAGAGGAACAGTTTTGGCCCCTCTTGCTTAAAGGATGGTGTATACTCGAGACAAGCTCCATTCAGCTAAGTGCTGGTGTCTTACACAGACCTGAACTATTTGCACTATTGCTGAGTTAATCAGGACCTGGTGCATTTTCACACATTGATTTACTAGGATGCAGTACTGTTCTATACCCTTATGTGTACAGCAGTGTCATGGAGGAGTTCAGAAGCAAACCTGTGCACACACATAGACTGACCAAGACTTGTTTGCAGACGCTGCCTGCAGATGCTAGCTGCAGGCCTCTTCCTCCCTGGATCTGTAGGGATCACAGACCCATGTGAGAGTGGAAACTTCCGGGTCCACACGGTCATGACACTTGAGCAGCAGGTGAGTGTCCTCCATGTACAGTGTTATTGGTGTTCATCCACCACTGGGAGGAATCTGATCACAGTAGAACTAAGAAATGACAATTTTGGCAACTTTATAAAGCTGGTCACATACTAGAGTAAGGACTTCTTACAATAATCAAATCAAATGTATTGGGACATTGATAACTGTATGTGTCTAACTGTGTTCCTTGTGTGGATATCTCTGCAGGACACGGTGTGCTTTACAGCTCAGACTCTGGTTCGAGTCCTGTCTCACGGAGGCTACAGAAAGATCCTGGGACTGGAGGGAGACGCCAGCTGTGAGTCCTCTCTCCTGTCTGCCCTTTATCCTGTGTACTTGATGCTCATACAATGGCTGATGCTAGACAAGATGCTAAAAGAAGACCTTTATTCAAATTAAAGGCACATCCGGCAGTGTGAAACAAAATTCATCATTATCACATTTTTACTGTGTTAAAACAGCAGTAATTAAGAATTTTGATTTCAGATATTGGACATGGACAATATATCACTGACTCACTGATCTAAAAGGGTTTACAAGATGTAGGTATCAGTGACATGTGAGCAAAGGCTTCAGTGTTTAAGTACTGTGATTTCCTCAACAAACATCAAAATGTCCTGTGTTATTCTGCATAAAAACTGCAAACCCCTACTTTAGATTTGTACAAACATTTTCTGAAATGCAAGAATTCTATTAAAACCTAAACCACAAATATAATTGCAATGCTTGTCAGAAAAATAGTCACAGTTTGTGCCCATGTAATTGCTATCAGATTTGATTGCAACCAGTCAATATTACTGATACAATCATCAACTCATTAACAATCAAATAATCATTAACTGGTTTATGCACAGCCTTCAACGCATGCTATAGGCTGAGAGAAAATGATTTAGGACTTGGACAGAGCAGTAAATGAAAATTGACACAGGAAACATGAAAAAGTGTTAATGATTTAAAAAAAAAAAAACTGTACCAAGATGTTCAAGTTCTCAGCTTTATCTGGGTAAAACTGAGTAAAACTCATTCATAGCATTTTGTGTTTTAAACAAGTAATCGAAAAAAATCACTTGGTTAGCAAAATCGGCAAGATATTGATTAGTTCCAGTCCCAATCAGACTTGTTTTTTTGAACAGACTTCTCCAATAATTGCATGTGAAATGTCTTTTGTATTCAGACCTGGCCTCAGAGATGTCCACGTGGGACGGAGTCATCGTCACACCCTCAGAAAAGGCATATGAGAAGCCTCCAGAGAGGAAGGAGGAGGAGGATGAGGCTTTAGAGGAGGGGGGCGATGCAGAGGAAGAGAGCATGGAGACCCAGGAGTGACTGGACCTAAAGGGAACCAGGGCAGATTTGTTTTAAGTTTTATTCCTGTTTATTTGACTTTTTGTTACATTTGTCAATGAAGGTAGTGATCTCAATAAAAACTTTTTTTGTTTTACTTTGAGCACAGGGCCTGGTGTTTTGAAATGTGCACGTTGGTCTCTGAGAACTTATTCCCTCTTTTGGACAAATGTCAATGGTCTTTGGGATCATACAAGGAACTATTCTGAAGTTACTACCATCCAGAGGTGTAATTTCTAGCTAAATATAATTTGAGTCATATTAGATCATGTTAATAACTGTTCTCACATTGGTTCATTTCAAGAGTCAAAGAAGGCCCCAGAACGCTGAAGGGTTTCTCAGGGCAGATGTGTGTGGAGCTTTCAAAGTCCAACAGCAATAGTGTCATGGAACTCCTCTCTGCTGAGGCCACTGGCTGCTGTGCTTAGGCATAGCTTCAGGGCTTGAGTTTGAGCCAAGGGTGCACAATGGTGAGGATGGACAGAATGGAAGAGGTCAGCCCACAGGCTCCCACAAATCCAGGGCCGGTGGAGTAGAGCCCCAGGCGATCCATAGGGATAAACATGTCACAGATGTTCTTGAGCAGATCCAGCAGCAGTGGAGGGTTATGGTGCAGCACGCTAAGCAAGTGCTGCAGCTGTGAGGCCACACGGGGGGCAGTGTGAGGTTCCTCTGCTTTAGTCGCTATGCAGCGAACCTCATTCTCCATGAGCATGAGCAGACGCAACTCATACACGTCCCGCACTAGATTCAGTATCAGAGCGAAAAGGTAATACCTGTGAATACAAACACATTCAACACACCAACTAAAGGATACATGCATCAACCACACTATGCTCAGTTTTAAGGCTCTGCTGAAGATTCTACTCCCTCTGCTATTTTATGGCATTGCAACAACTGATGTCAGTATGCAATTTACCACGGATTAACCTCAAGTGGTTCAGAAGCCAAAGGGGAAACACCCTGTATACAGTCCCTGAAAAAAGTCTTGTCGCTTATCCATTTTGTAGAAACAGAAGCTTATAACTTGACTTTAAATTAATCGATTGGTTTTAGAAATGTCTCATATGAAAGCTAAAACCCTCCCAAATTATGCTCAATATACTAAAATAAATTTGCTTCACTGAAGAAAGATTGATCATTTAATGAACACAGAAAGGTCAGATTTTGGCAAGACAAAAGTCTTGTCGCCTTGTCATATGATGCACCCAATCCTAGATTACAGCCTCACCTGTGATCAGTTACTGATCAATCAATTAGTGGGTGTGTATAAAAAGAACCCCAGTACACCAGACCTTCACATCAACTGCAACTTGACCTCTGACAACATGCCTAAGATCCACCCTGAGACCAAAGCATTAATTATCAAGAGGCTGAAGACCAGATCCACTGCTGAGGTGGTGACACCTTCAATGTGTCTCAGCGTCAAGTACAAAGAATAAGAAAAAGATCTGAAATGACTGGAGATGTTTTTGACAAGCCCAGGTCCGGCAGACCCTGCAAGACAACTGCTCGGGAGGACCGTTTGTTGATTCAAAAATCCAAGGCCAGCCCCTTTTCCACTGCAGCAGACTCCACCAGGCCTGGTCACCTCAAGTCCCTGTGTCAACTACAACAGTTTGTAGAATTCTGTCTCGAAATGGCCTCCATGGTCGAATCAGTGCACAGAAACCAGCACTAAACAAAAGGCAATTAAAAAACCGTGTGGCATTTGCCAAGGCCCACAGCCTGATAAAAGGATGGACACTGGAAAAGTGGCAGAAGGTGGATTTCTCAGATGAATCCTCGGTTGAATTACATCACAGCCGCCGCAAATATTGCAGGAGACCTACTGGAGCCCGCATGGATCCAAGATTCACCCAGAAAAAAGTTAAGTTTGGTGGCGGAAAAATCATGGTCTGGGATTACATCCAGTATGGGAGTGTGCGAGACATTTGCAGGGTGGAAGGCAATATCAATAGCCTAAAATATCAAGAAGTATTAGCTACCTCTTACATTCCCAACCATAAAAGGGGTCAAATTTTGCAGCAGGATGGTGCGCCATCGTATACTTCTATCTCTACATCAAAGTTTCTCAAGGCGAAGAAGATCAAGGTGCTCCAGGACTGGCCAGCCCAGTCACCAGACATGAACATCATTGAGCATGTCTGGGGTAGAATGAAAGAGGAAGCATGGAAGGCAAAACCAAAGAATCTTGATGAACTCTGGGAGGCATGTAAGACTGCTTTCTTTGCTATTCCTGACTACTTGATCAACAAATTGTATGAATCATTGTCGAACCGCATAGATGCAGTCCTTCAAGCTCATGGAAGTCATACAAGATATTAAGTAGTGGTGCTGTGAGATGCATATTTAATTTAACTGACGTTATGCAACATATTTTTGTATTTGAAGTAAATTATTTGTTCAATTTTCTATAGGCGGCAAAACTTTTGTCTTGCCAAAATCTGACCGTTCTGTGTTCAATAAATGATCAATCTTTCTTCAGTGAAGCAAATTTATTTTAGTATATTGAGCATAATTTGGGAGGGTTTTAGCTTTCATATGAGATATGTCTAAAACCAATCGATTAGTTTAAAGTCAGGTTATAAGCTTTTGTTTCTACAAAATTGTTTCTACAAACTTTTGTCAGGGACTGTATATGGAAGCCTTTGGTGTGAAACCTCTCCCCACCTAATAGCCTAACATTTTATCATAGATTTCAATTTTTGTGTTGTAATGGTGGACTAGGGCTGACCTGAAGGACCTTTGGCTCCACTTATGTTGGTCCAGTCTGTGCAGGAGACCTGTCTTGGCAGCCCACAGCAGGTTGTCACAAGCAAAGTACATGGCCCTGTTGAGGTGGCTGAGCGTGAGGCAGAGACGCAGCACACTGTCCTTGAGATGGATGCTCCTCTTGGCAGCTTCCAGGGCCTCAGCTGAGTTCCCCAAACGCAACACTGCAGGAGAACAAGGACAGGCTGCATTTAGCGACTGCATCATGGTCTACAGCTTCTTTACCCGCATCCTACTTGATTCCTCCTCTATTCAGCTGTCATTTGATTGACAGCTCAAAAATGGAAGATTGGGGAAAGGAAAGAGAATTGAGATGTGGTCATGGACACAGCTGTGGTGGGTGTAGTGTGAACAAGTGTGTCACTCACACTTCCTGGTCAAGCTCATGTGCGCCTCCAGCTGGGAGATGGTGAGGCGCACCTCGTCCCCGGAGCCTGCTCTGTGCACTGTGTACCCCAGAAGAGCACAGGCATACTGGGCAGCCCTGACAAAACAGCAGTGCAGCACAATCACTCATGAGCCATATCATACCAAAATATACACTACTGGTCCAAAGTTTTAGAACACCTTAATTTTTCTAGTTATGTATTACAATTCAAGTTGTGCAAGTCCAGTGAAGAGTTTGAAATCCTACAAAGGTAAGAACTGAACAGACAGAGATAAAAAAAAAAGAAAAAAAAAGATACAAAACACAAGTCCAAGCTCTGCTAAAACTACCTCAGGAAAAAAAGAACAAGATGGTAAACTTGAAAACCTGGAGTGTCCAGCACAGTGTCCAGACTTAAACCCCATCGAGCTGGTTTTTGGGATGAACTTGACAGACGAGTGAAACAACCTACAAGTGCCACACATTTATGGAACTTCTGCAACAGACTTGGGAAGAACTTTCTGAACAATATTTGTAATTTGTAATCTATTGTAAAAAGAACGAGCCACGAGTGTGTTCAGCTGTTCTATCTGCCAAAGGCGGACACTTTCATCAATCAAAAGTTTAGAATATGTTTTGGTCAACAGTAAAAAGTGGAAAAAGTGTAGTGTTCTAAAACTTTTGACCATTAGTGTATTTCAAAAGGTTAAAGATTAAAAATGAATATTGGGTCATTCCATACCATTTCACCAAATGGCCCACGCACTTCGATCTCAAAAAATTACTAAATAGTCCCTTACTATGATGTACCAACCCTGTGAAGTTTTAGTAATTTTCGATCATTACTTTTTAAGTTACAGCTCATTAAGTGAGGGGAGTATGTGTCAATTTACGGGCCCAAAATGCACGTCATTTTTTCTCAGCTGTTTTCACAGGTCGATATCTCCATAAGTATCACACATAGAGGGCTGAAATTTTGTGGGCTTATACTCCTCTCAATAGATGTTATTTGAACACAGAGTAGAGGACGACAAGCCTACAAAATTTCAACCCTCTATGTGTGATACTTATGGAGATATCGACCCGTGAAAAAAGCTGAGAAAAAAATGACGTGCATTTTGGGCCCGTAAATTGACACATACTCCCCTCACTAAATGTGCTGCAACTTAAAAAGTAGTGATCGAAAATTACTAAAACTTTACAGGGTTGGAACAAGATAGTAAGGGACCAGCTGGTCATTTTTTCAAAATTTTTAAAAACATGATGCGTGAGATTTTCTGGAAATTTGATGAAATGGTGTGGAATGACCCTATTGCACATCAGCAGGTCCCAAACTCATCAGCACCAACCAAACAGTCTATGGCATGTTGGTCTATGGTCTGTTGACATTGTGACGGGGTCAGATAGGGTCCACAGAAATCTGTCACTGCCCTATTCGGAGCCTCACCCGTTTTGTCAAAATTTGCATCACTGTAAACACGCTTCAAAGTGTTAAACGAGTTGAATGAGAGGTGCCAATCAAAGCTTTAAACAGAGCAGCTCTGCTCTAAGCAAACTACCTGAACACTCTCTCCTTGGCCTGGCTCTGTGCACTGAAGCGAATCCAGGAGTCCATTCTTGTTACTCAGCGTTTCAGCTCAATCACCACCATTTATTCTTCACGCGTGGTTATTCTTTATCCTCTGTCTCAGCTGCGGTTATTTGAATTTGAAGTCTTGAGAGCAGTTTGCATGGATTTAGCCTGTTAGCTTCCTTCACTGAGCCCCAATGTAAACATGGAGTGACTCGGAAGTGTGAGCGCCGCTCACAGGACAGGATGTGTTTTACACTCTTTTTCTCTGTTCGTTTTGTCTGGGCCGTTTCTTCTCCGTTTGGGCTAATTTCTCTTTCCTCGCTTACTTCTCATTGATTCCTCTCCTCTATCTTCCATTTTCAGCTGTCAGTCAAATGTGTCGTATTAAACGTTGTCCCAAAGAAAACCACAGAATGAAGGAGCAAACATGAGGGAGGCTTCAAGAGGCAAACATCAGATAAAAGAATCAAACTTTATCGAGGAGTTTATATCCTTTATTAATTTATTATTATTATTATTTTTTATTCAACAACTGGGCAATGTATAATACAGTACAAATACATATTACCACTTTGCACATAGATTCTAGATTGTGATGATGTCATACTCCCAGATGGGGGCAAGTACCAGTTTTCCCTATTGATTACATAGCACTTTACCATGAAATATCAGAAATGTAAATTCCCAAATATGGAGCCTCATAATTTCTGTTATTGACTAGACCCAATATCATGCTATATTACATGCTGTCATCTGAAAGCCAGCAATGGCCAAATGCCTGACAATTCTATCCGTGGGTTTAGGGAGGTGGAACATTATTTCTGTTACAGCAGGAGATCTGTTAGGCTACGTTCAGACTGTAGGGCTTAATGCTCAATTCCGATTTTTTTGTGAAATCCGATGTTTTTGCGAGGTCATTCACATTTCCAATGAAATGCGACTTGTCTGTGACTTCAGTGTGAACGGTAAACGGCCCGTTCAGAAGCCCCACATGATGAGCAACACACAGAGGCCAGTTACGTCGCCCGGATTGGCGTCACCGGGGCCAGGCCTGGGGTGGGTGCTCGTCAGCGAGCGCCTGGTGGCCGGGCCTTCCCCCACGGGGCCCGGCCGGGCTTAGCCCGAAGGAGCGACGTGGGGCCGTCCTCACGTGGGCCCACCACCCACGGGAGGAGCCATATGGGGCCGGTGCAGAGAGATCTGGGCGGCAGTCGACGGCGGGGGCCTCGGCGACCGGATGTCCGGACATGGAGACTAGCTCTGGGGACATGGAATGTCACCTCGCTGGGGGGGAAGGAGCCTGAGCTTGTGCGGGAGGTTGAGCGTTACCGACTAGATATAGTCGGCCTCACCTCCACGCACAGTTTGGGCTCTGGAACCCAACTCCTTGAGAGGGGCTGGACTCTCCATTTCTCTGGCGTTGGCCGCGGTGAGCGGCAGCGGGCTGGTGTGGGCTTGCTCATTGCCCCACAGCTCAGCCACTGTGTGTTGGAGTTCACCCCAGTGAACGAGAGGGTCGCGTCCCTGCGCCTTCAGGTCGGGGACAGGTCTCTCACTGTGGTGTCGGCCTACGGGCCGAACAGCAGTGCTGAGTACCCGGCCTTCTTGGAGTCCTTGGGAGGGGTACTAGACAGTGCACCGACCGGGGACTCCGTTGTTCTCCTGGGGGACTTCAACGCCCACGTGGGCAACAACAGTGACACTTGGAGAGGGGTGATTGGGAGGAATGGCCTCCCCGATCTGAACCCGAGCGGTGTTTTGTTATTGGACTTCTGTGCTAGTCACGGTTTGTCCATAACGAACACCATGTTCGAGCACAAGCGTGTCCATAAGTGCACGTGGCACCAGGACACCCTAGGCCGGAGGTCGATGATCGACTTTGTAGTCGTGTCATCTGATCTCCGGCCGTGTGTCTTGGACACTTGGGTGAAGAGAGGGGCTGAGCTGTCAACTGATCACCACCTGGTTGTGAGTTGGGTTCACTAGCGGAGGAGGAAGCCAGAAAGACCTGGCAGGCCCAAGCGTGTAGTGAGGGTCTGTTGGGAACGTCTGGCGGAGCCCTCTGTCAGAGGGACTTTCAACTCGCACCTCCGGGAGGACTTCTCCCGGATTCCGGGGGAGGCTGGAGATATGGAGTCCGAGTGGGCTTCACTCGGACTCTATTGTCAATGCGGCTGCTCGGAGCTGTGGGCGTAAGGTCTGTGGTGCCTGTCGCGGCGGCAATCCCCGAACCCGGTGGTGGACACCGGAAGTAAGGGATGCCGTCAAGCTGAAGAAGGAGTCCTATCAGGCCTTGCTGGCTCGGGGGACTCCTGAAGCAGCTGACGGGTACCGGCGGGCCAAGCGTGCTGCAGCCCATGTGGTCGCGGAGGCAAAAACTCGGAGCTGGGAGGAGTTCGGGGAGGCCATGGAGGAGGACTATCGGACGGCCTCAAAGAGATTCTGGCAAACCGTCCGGCGCCTCAGGAGGGGGAAGCAGTTCTTCGCCAACACTGTTTACAGTGCGGGGGGAGAGCTGCTGACCTCGACTGGGGACGTTGTCCGGCGGTGGAAGGAATACTTTGAGGATCTCCTCAATCCCACCGTCACGTCTTCCGAGGAGGAGGCCGAGGCTGGGGACTCGGAGGCGGACTCATCCATCACCCTAGCTGAAGTCACTGAGGTGGTTGGAAAGCTCCTTGGTGGCAAGGCTCCGGGGTTGGATGAGATCCATCCTGAGTACCTTAAGTCCCTGGATGTTGTGGGGGCTGTCTTGGCTGACATGCCTCTTCAACATCGCGTGGCGGTCGGGGTCAGTACCTCTGGACTGGCAAACCGGGGTGGTGGTCCCTCTGTATAAGAAGGGGGACTGGAGGGTGTGTTCCAACTATAGGGGGATCACACTCCTCAGCCTTCCCGGTAAGGTCTATGCCAGGGTACTGGAGAGGAGAATCCGGCTGATAGTCGAACCTCGGATTCAGGAGGAGCAGTGTGGTTTTCGTCCTGGCCGTGGAACACTGGACCAGCTCTACACTCTCCATCGGGTGCTAGAGGGTTCATGGGAGTTTGCCCAACCAGTCCACGTGTGCTTTGTGGACTTGGAGAAGGCATTCGACCGTGTCCCTCGTGGTGTCCTGTGGGGGGTGCTCTGGGAGTATGGGGTCCGGGTCCCTTTGCTAAGGGCTGTCCGGTCCCTGTATGACCGGAGCAGGAGCTGTGTTCGCATTGCCGGCAGTAAGTCAGACCTGTTCCCGGTGCATGTTGGACTCCACCAGGGCTGCCCTTTGTCACCGGTTCTGTTCATTGTATTTATGGACAGAATTTCTAGGTGCAGTCAGGGGCCGGAGGGGGTCCGGTTTGGGGACCACAGGATTTCATCTCTGCTGTTTGCGGATGATGTTGTCCTGTTGGCTTCATCGAACCAGGACCTGCAATGTGCACTGGGGAGGTTTGCAGCCGAGTGTGAAGCGGCTGGGATGAAGATCAGCTCTTCCAAGTCTGAGGCCATGGTTCTCGACCGGAAAAAGGACTTGCCCTCTCCGGGTGGGTGGGGAGTCTTTGCCTCAAGTGGAGGAGTTTAAGTATCTCGGGGTCTTGTTCACGAGTGAGGGAAGGACGGAACGTGAGATTGACAGGCGGATCAGTGCAGCTTCGGCAGTGATGCAGTCGCTGTATCGGGCCGTTGTGGTGAAGAGGGAGCTGAGCCGAAAGGCGAAGCTCTCGATTTACCGGTCAGTCTTCGACCTATGGTCATGAGCTCTGGGTAGTGACCGAAAGGACGAGATCGCGGATACAAGCACTTGAAATGGGTTTCCTCCGCAGGGTGGATGGGCGCTCCCTTAGAGATAGGGTGAGGAGCTCAGTCACACGGGAGGAGCTTGGAGTAGAGCCGCTGCTCCTCCACGTCGAGAGGAGCCAGTTGAGGTGGCTCGGGCATCTGTTTCGGATGCCTCCTGGGCGCCTCCCTCGGGAGGTGTTCCGGGCATGTTCCACCAGGAGGAGGCCCCGGGGAAGACCCAGGACACGCTGGAGGGACTATGTCTCTCGGCTGGCCTGGGAACACCTCGGGGTCCCCCCGGAGGAGCTGGAGGACCTGTCTGGGGTGAAGGAAGTCTGGGAGTCCCTGCTTAGGCTGCTGCCCCCGCGACCCGGCCCCGGATAAGGGGACAAAAATGGATGGATGGATGGATGGACGGTAAACGGCCCGAAAGTGTCCTGCATGCGCACTGGAGGACACGATGACGTCAACCCCATGCGTCAACCGCAGCGAGCGTGCTCTGTGTTTACGGAAGTTGTCCAAATATGGTCGCGAGCATTGAGCACCTGGCAATTTTACAGTTCCGGTTTCCGCCTGCTTCAGCGCAGAATAGTGACGTTTGTCTCTTGTTAATGACGTGTAGGTTGGATGGATGCGCTTTGGCCGTTCAGACTGAAGTCGCATGTCAAAAGATCGGATATGTATCGGATTCAGGACAACATATCCAAGTGGCCTGGGTCGCGTTTGAAAAATTCGGATCTGTGCCGTTCAGACTGTCATTAAAAGATCGGATACAGGTCACATAGAAGCCAAAAAATCGGATTTGGGTCACTTCAGGCTGCAGTCTGAACGCAGAGACACAGAGCTCATCTTGGGCTTAATTTGAAGCTGACAATTTGGGGAAGTTTTCTATTTACATATGAAACTGTAATTCCAGGCTGATGTGTCATAATCAATGAAAGGATTTGTCCTTGAAAATGCAATTTTTTTTTGATATTCTTTTTCTATAAACAGTCTAATAATTATAAACAGAACTGCTGAAAGCCCTGTAAGGTTATAGTGTTGTATTTGTCATCATGTCAGGATTCTGTGTTCACTATGTGACATTGTATGTAACTATAGCACCACTTTTTAACAGATTTTTCTTTGGGTACTGAGATTAAAACGACCCCCAACTTGTAATGTCTCAAGGAGTGCACTGAAAAATCATAGTGGAAAAAAGAACAAAATAATCGTGGTGAAGAGCTTTGGTACCCCTCCTCTTTCTGGGTTATAGATGCCCTGTGCATGTTTCTGCTGATGCAACATAATTCTGCAGATTTTTTTTTTTAAGTAAATGGTTTTACATTGCTATGTGAAGCACTTTGGAAACTGTCTTGTTTATAGAATGTGCTATACAAATAAAGTTGGATTGGATGTTGTAATCATAGACTGTTGTGTTTGAACACATTTATGCTGAATTCTTTGTTTATGCAATACTCGTTTGTGTTGTTTTTAGACCACAGAAGCATCCATTCTTCACACTTACATTTTATTATCACAAACATGTATTTTTGTTGTACAACATGCAAAAGCGCATTTAATTAGGTCAGTGTTACAATTCATGAATATCCCTCCAACCACACCACAGGTATTATTTTCTGTGTAGAGGAGACTGGGATATGGGACAAATTTTGCTTTAGTGCTTTGGAAGGTTTATACATAAACTATGTTTTTTGTCAAAATAATGTCATATGAACAAAATAAAGCAGTATATTTTTACCACAGTTCCTGAGGTAAGCTGAACCATCACATTAAAGCCTGACCTGTGGAATGAATATAACTTAAATTTATACTTTTCAAAGATTTTATACAGAAAAGATAAATACAGTCTTTTTGTAATTATGTAATCTCAGAGTATCATTTGGACTTTTACCTTAAGGGAGAAGGTGTGGATCAGCTTACCCCAAAGTAAACTCAGTTATATTTTAGAAAAGACCTAACTGCTAATATTTGTCTTTGTCCTGTCTCTTGCAAATTGGCCTACCAACATGGGGAAATAAATAGCTCTAAATTAACTTTTCTAATTAACGTTTTTGCAATACTTGTTTTTGTGCCTCTTTGAAGACCCCCAAAAATGTGATTTGTTTCTAATTTTCCTAAACTTTTTGGTTATTGTATGCTTTCATTGCATACTGCCATGTGCTAAAAAAAAACTGCATTTATTCGAAATAAATAATCCCGTTTAAGAGCAAAACAAATGTTACACTCATCCTGGTTTCTTAGCAGTTCACAGTTAGGCCTAAATGATTTAGGTTACATAATTAAACAGTATATGCCCCATCAACTAGATTTGTTTACCTACAAGACATTTTACTGATGCACACCAGATTCCTCCACATTTACAGCCAAGCTTCTGGTTATTCCAGGTGAATGATTTAGGCCCAAAGAACAAGACACTGGATACAAGCAGTCCAGCACCTCAGGAGAAGCTGAAGAGAGAGAGTGTGTGGATTGGGAAGTATGGGAGTCCCTGTTTAGACTGCTGCCTCTGTGACCCAGCCCCAAAAAGGAGAAAGAAGATGGGTGGCATACAAATATACAGTCAGTCTGGGAAAAAATTTTGCCCTTCACTGAGAGAATGAACACGACAAACTAAGGGTAGTGGAGTGGACTTCAGGGTGCACGGGGGGAGAACAGGACAGGGCTTCAGGGTGCACTGAGAGAGCATAGGAGGAACATCAAGATAAACTGGGGGAGCGGGAAGCAAACACCCCTGAGGCCTCCAACATAGTCTTTCTTCGTGCAGTTTCCTTGGCCACATTGTGGTTAAGTCTTCTTAGACGTTCCTGTGGACACATTTAATGCCACAGAAATCAGTGGAGAAACATCTTAGTTGTGTAATTAGTAATGAGATGGGTTTGGGTTCAACTTTTGTAAATTGCTTATGATTTATTAGAGTTAGACAGTCAGTACGGTACTTTACTCATGGGCAAGGTGGATTTTGTGTCTTGCCCAAGGATATAACAATAGTATGGGTTCAACTTCTGGATTTGTGGGTTCAAATTCAGAGCTACTGCAGACTCAAACTGAGAGCTGAATAGGTTACGTGCATAACACAGATGAACCAGTTAGTACATCACCTGGGCATTTTGGAGGATGTTGTTCACTAAAACCACTCTCCGTCTCGCATTGAGCAGCTTCTTCACGTAGGGGTCTAAGTCCAGAGCAACCTTCTGGTGATCATTTATCCGACACAGTTCTGCAAAGCACAGGCCACAGTTTACAAGGCAAGCAACTATGTTTATTTGAATTACCTAGAGAAAAAAAGAGAATACCTGTGGCTAAATTATCAATGTGTTCTCTTAGTTCCACCTGACTTTCTCTGTAGATTTGGGAACAAAATAAAAGATGGAGGTGAGATGGAAACAGCTGCACAGAAAGCACAGTTAAAGGGCCCATATGCACTATATTCTGTTCTACGTTATAATGTTTTTTCCTCATCAAAATATCTGGAGTTGTTTTGTTTCATTCACACATGTTTAACACACAAACCCTGCATATTTTAGCAAGTTTGAATTGACCAAATAGAAAATACTCATTGTGATGTCACAGGAAGTGCTTCACTGTGTTTGTAAACTCCATACACCTAACTAGAATCATTAAGATCAACGAAAGGCAGCTGTTAACTTGAAAAGTACCACTAGGTGACATCACAAGGTGGAATAGACCATTTTGATCTGTAGACAGACTAACAATCCAGGATTACTCAAACATGTGTGAATGACATTAAAAAAACTACCACAGGTATGTTTGTGATGAGGTAACAGCATTTTAACATAGCTTAAAATCAGTTGTGTGTAATACAGGACCTATAAAACTGCTCAATACCTGACAGAGTGCACGTGCAGGTCCAGCTGCTGTATGGCGGGTTTGAGGAGGTCAATCAAACCCTCGGCCAGAACATCTTTACAGGACGGATTCTCTGATAACGCTGCTGAAGCCATCTCAGTCTAAAACCATAAGAGCACAGGCATCCGGTAAACAACAGTCATGGGACCCGGAAGCAATCTGTTCATAAGACAGTCTGACTGCAGACCGTCACCCAGAGAACTCTACCCCGAAGATTACAGTGTTGGGGAGTAACAGATTACATGTACTGGAGTTACGTAATCAGAGTACAAATTATGAGTAACTGTATTCAGTGGTAATTAGATTACAGTTACTTGGTGAAATAAATGGATTACACAGAGGTATTTTCCTGTTTTCACATTTTGGGCTAAATCCCCCTTTTTTTTCGGTAATTCCAATCATTGCCGGACACTAAATCAGGTCTAAAACCAGGTCTAAACCAGGTCCAAACCAGGTCTAAACCAGGTTTAAACCAAGACTAAACCAAGACTAAATCACGTCTAAACCAGGACTAAACCAGGACTAAACCAAGACTAAACCATGTCTAAACCATGTCTAAACCAGGTCTAAACCAGATCTAAACCAGGACTAAACCAGGTCTAAACCAGGAATAAACCAGGAATGAACCAAGACTAAACCAAGATTAAACCATGTCTAAACCATGTCTAAACCAGGTCTAAACCAGGACTAAGCCTGTCTTTTAGCAGACAAAACATCTTATGTGAAGATGTCCTCATCTTTGCTTCTCTACAGCAAACCAAGTAATCCAAAGTATTCAGATTACGTTACTCACTTTAAGTAATTTAATGGATTACGTTACAAACTACATTTTGGTGTATTGGTGTATGTAATCTGTAATCTGTAGGGGAATACATTTTAAAAGTAACCTTCCCAACACTACATATATATATATATATATATATATATATATATATATATATATATATATATATATATATATATATATATATATATATATATATAATACTACAGTCTGGTGCAGTGGGTGAGTTGTTCAGTTGGGCAGTTTAAGGGCATTTTGGATTGATGTCATCACGTGAAGGTCCTGTGGGCGCAGCTCTGTGGGTTGGGTCCTCTGTGTGAAGGTCTGCACTCAGGTCCCTCTCCATAAAGGACGCATGCGCACTCCCGGTCTAAGTGACTCCATTTTAAGAGAAAGAGTAGGCTTTTTAGCGCAACTACTTTGTCCTAAAATACTCAAATATCTTTTGTTTTTTGCTCTGCTTTTACTGCTTTTACCTCCAAAGACATATTAGAGGAGAAGGCGCCACAGTTGACCGCGTGTGCGCTTTAGGAAGTTTCTCACCAACCTAACCCAAGCAGTGCTAACACGTCGAGCTACCGATAGCAAACACGTATCTGCTCCAGGCCCTCGCAGAAGAACGTTTGGTGAGACCCACATTGATAACTTCATGTGTACAGTGTAGCGATCATGGTTGCGGATCTGTTTGATCTGTTGTATTCATAGGGTATTTATCACCGTAAGTAATATTAAAGGGTCCATATTATGCTCATTCTAATCTACGTTCTAACGTCGTTTCTTATCAAAAATAGACCTGAATTTGTGTTTTTTGTTCCATTCGCTCATGTTTAACACACAAACCCTACATATTTAGGCTGTGTTCTTTTCTCAAACAGGAACCCCACCTTGTGATGTGGTGATATAGAAGTATAGTGAAAGATTTCCACTCTGTTTTTTTAAAAGTCCATACACTTTTACATTCATTTGGATGTTTTAAGATGTGCAGTCTCTACTGAAGATAAAGGCAGCTAACAACCGCTTCATGACATCAAAAGGTGGAACAGAGTATTTTGAAATGTAGACTGACTAGTAATATATGATTATTCAAACATGTGTGAACGAAGCAAAACGCAACTCAAGATAAGTTTTTGATGAGGTAATGTATAACATAGCTTAAAGCTCACAGGAGGCAATTTAGAGTAATATAGGACCTTTACATTTATTCTAATGCTTAACCAGCATTTCCCATTAATACTGGAGACTATGATTTCCCCCAATCACAAAACAAACACTAGTTGAGCTAAAAAAAAATAAAAGTAAAACAAATTATTCTTTATACTGTTACCATAGATTTCTAATCTGTAATTAGTGCTTTTGTGTTCAATATAGGCAATAAGTGACATACACTATCGGTTCAAAGTTTTAGAACACCTGAATTTTTCCAGTTATTTATTGTGATTCAAGTCGTGCAAGTCCAATGAAGAGCTTGCAATGGTACAAAAGTAAGAACTGAACAGACAGAAGTTAAAAAAAATAAAATAAAATTTTAAAAAAAGATAAAGGATACAAAACACAAGTCCAAGCTCTGCCAAAACTACCTCAGGAAAAAAAGAACAAGATGGTGAGCTTGGAAACATGGAGTGGCCAGCACTCCAGACTTGACCCCATCAAGTTGGTTTGGAATGAATTGGACAGAAAAGTGATGCAACCTACATGTGTGGCACACACATTTAGAGGAACTTCTGCAACAGACTTGGGAAGAATTTTGTGAAGAATATTTGATTTCTGTTGTAAAAAGAACGAGCCATGAGTGTGTTCAACTGTTATATCTACCAAAGATGACTACTTTATGACTCAAAAGTTTAGAATTTGTTTTGGTCAACAGTAACGGTTAAAAACTGGAAGAAGTGTGGTGTTCTAAAACTTTTGACCGGTAGTGTACATATACACTAAAAAGTAAACCATGAAGCTCTTACCATATTGTCTCACCATATTGTCAGTATAAAACTGTTGGAAACACTGTTTAACGTTACTTATCTGTGTGCATCTGCCCCAAAGCTGTAGGTTGTAACAATTTGTGTCCCCCTAGGAGCCGGAAGGTGAAGCCTGCCAAAATGAGTGCCGCCTCGTCCCAAAAAGTTGTGTTGAAAAGCACAACCAAAGTGTCCCTGAATGAGCGGTGAGACGCCATGCACGCTATATCAGCAGATATCAGCAACACAAACTGGGTCTGTGTGTACCTCCGTGCACACCATTGCACACTCTAAGGCATTCAAAATGCCTCTAATTTTAGGTTTAGTTAAGTTCACCTACTCTAAAACAACCATGATTTCTGGAAGAGGTGAACATGTGTGTGTGGCCATATTGAGTGTGGCCCACATCTCTGTTCTAGCACTTTCTGTCCTGATGGAAAGAATTTCACAACCAACTAAAATATGGGGATCCTGCAAGTAAGGTGTGCCACAGAGAACCCACTTGAATAAAGCACACATGATGTCCTCTTCTCCTCTGACTTTAGTTTTCTTGTCTCTTTGACAAAGGGCTTAGTCCGAGCATAGACGTGACCGGGCGCTCCGCAGCTCTCAGTGAGTGGAATGACCTGAGTTACGGTCTTTGCTGTAAGTGGCTGGGTTCCCAAGCACCTTATGCCTAGGCCTCCCCCAACAAGGATTTAACTGGAGGCACGTAAGAGGCACAATGTGCTTTCTATAACTCTCGCTCTCTCTCTCTCGCTGTCGCATCATTTTCAGGTTAGTTATGTGTTAAAGGTTGCCACTGCAGTTGGTAACTACATTTAACAACACAAAGAATGTGTGCCAGCAAGTGGAAGCTGAAAAAGCGTCTGCATAAATTAAGACATGACGTTCATGTGGAATCCTGCTTCCTCCATCCGTATGTCCTCCTTTTACTTCCTCCCTTTTTTCCTCCCAATTTTAAGCTTTACTAACATGCTGAAGAACAAGCAGCCCACTCCAGTAAACATTCGAGCCACCATGCAACAACAACACATGGCAAGTGCCCGCAATCGGCGCCTTGCACAGCAAATGGAGAACCGCCCTTCAGTGCAAGCTGCTTTGAACCATAAGCAGGTGAGTTCTGTCACACAATAGTCAGCAGTCATAAGTCCAGAATACACAACCCACACTTTTTTCTGAAGGTCATTATCCTGTCTTTTTATGGAAAAATCTGTCACTGTCTAGTTTAGAGCTAGTTTAGAGCTCTACAAACATGTTCTGATGCTTGGGATTCTTGTCTTGGTTTCAGTTCATATTTCTTTTCTTAAATGTTAATGCATCAGTTGTTTTCAGGGTGCTTCCTGAACATAATCTTACTTTTGAAACATTTCACAACTCAAATTGCAAATTTTGTCTGTAAACTCATAGATGTTTTTCCAACATCGTGCAGCCCTAGTTCACAAGCTTACTATCCTCGTTGTCTAAACTTGTGAACACACTGGACGAAACGCCTTACTTTACTGCAGGGGTCGGGAACCTTTTTGACTCAGAGGGCCATGAAAGCAAAATATTTGGAAATTTATTTCCGTGAGAGCCATATAATATATTTTAAGACTGAATTAAACTAAATGTGAGTATAATAAGCCTCTGAATTTATTCTTTTAAATAATGTTGTTATAATACTCACCATTAATGCGATTTCTGGTGCTGTATGGATTTGCTGATGGCTTTGTAGTCCAGACGCCATCCCATACAGACCTGGACAGGGTCAGACTGATGTTCTCAATGTTCCTCCAATTGTGAAAGGAATCTATGTTCCCTGTTAACACCGCGGGCCATCCTCCTCTCAAGTTATCACCATGAGCTCATAAAACAGCAGCATGTAGAACTTTGTACAAACTCACTACACATCAGCCCGGAGCAGAAGCTCTGAGTTTGGACAAATGCGCTAAACACACAGGAGCAGTCAACATAGCGTGCAGCCCCTCAAAGACATGGCTGGGGGTCCAGTGTTGGTCAGATCGGTCTGTAGGCTCCATCCTCCATGTCCTGGTTCCAGACAGGGGAGAGCAAGACCAGCGCGCAATGGACTGCGTTCCGTGCGGGGAAAACTACTACAGACTTCTGGTCCTTTGCGCTTGACCGCTTCTGGTTCCAAGGTGGTGCAAAGGATCCAGATAGAAGCGTGAATCCTGTTTGGTTCATTATATGTTGTTCTGAGCGGTACGTCCGCGCACGTGTTTTTTTTGTTTTGTTTTTTTTTTTCTTCCTGCGCTTCTCAGGTGGAGGCACTGGACACCACTTCAGCTAATCTACTTTTCATGTGTTTGCATTTGCACACACAGCTGATGGATCATATCCATGAGCAGAGATGAACAAGAGCTCGGAGGTCAGTGATTTTACCACTTCTTTAACATATCTGTGGAGAGGCGAGCCCACTCACTTTGAGTCTAATCCAGGAGTTGCCCAGAGTCTTGGTGTAGTTATAACGGCACTCGATGGAGTATTTATGCGGGTCAATGTAAACGAAAACTTTTTTGAAAACGATGCTGAACGATGTTATTTTGGAAAACTGAGGGAGGGAAGTATTCGTTTCTCAAAATACCCGGCTGTGTGTAAACGTAGCTTAAAACAAGTGAGAATATTTAATGTTTTATCTGCAAGCCAGATGCAGTCATCAAAAGAGCCACACCTGGCTCGCAAGCCATACGTTCCCGACCCCTGTTTTACTGTGTGTGTGGTGTTTTGTTTTTTTTTTATATTTAGAAAAGGCATTCTTCTTAAGATAAAACTTGTTAGAATGATGAGAAGATTTGATATTCAAATGAGTGTGGTGAGAAAATTGAATGTCTGCTGCACTGACCTCTTTGAGCTGTCCAAACTGCATATGCTACCATAAGCTAAAAATAATTTCAACCTGACAATAGTAAAGAAATGTTGTATTTTATCAAACACTGAATGTGCTCAGAGCTTGAAACAGCGGTTGGGAAAGGGCAACATCCAGGCTCGGCTTGGCAGGCCAGTGGGAGTGATGAGAGGAGCTGTAGGAGGCAGAGGACTGCGCGGGATTGGACGAGGCATGGGTCGTGGGCGGGGCCGAGGAGGACCTGTGCTTAGAGGAGCTCTATCTCTCAGAGGTAACTTATTCATACACTAGTATTTGAAGGGACTAACTCTGGATTAAAATACCTGTACCTTTTTCCAATCTTCATGTTGAATTATTGAGAAAACTGCTTTTACATTGAGTGCATTCACAAATCTCATTACCATTCATTCCTTAGTAGGTTTTGCCCATTGCTGTGGAAGAAAAATTTATTTTTTTGTGTGAAATCAGTGCCCATGTTGGCTTGACATGCAGGGCTCTACGTTAACTTTTTTCAGGAGCACACATGCCCCCAAGTTAAAAATTTCAGGAGCACAGAAAAAAAAATGGTTACACGAGTAGGTTTTTGTTTGTAGCGTTTATTAGCGTATTTTCCGCACTATAGGGCACTCTCTGGGTTATAAGACGCACTGTCTTTGAATGGTCTATTTTTTAACTTTTTTCACAAGTAAACCGCACCGGACTTTAAACAAAGCACAACAGTTAGATGGGTCAGTTGGACTTTCTTTGGCACGTTCACAGTGACTCTGCTTTGTTCAATTGTGGCGCGTAGGGAGGGTGCTGTCTGGGACCGCTGGATTGTTGGCATGTTTGCAGTGACTCAGTTGTGGCCAGAAGTGGCACATTGCACTCACTTTTTTGGTTCGTTCCTCTGTTCCGTTCCTCGTCCCCATGGAGTGATGAGTGTGGCTGCAGGTGTTTTTCGCTGTGCAGTCGCTGTCTGCTCCGTGCGTGTTTGAATGCGTTGCGGGTGGTGCGACTTTGTAGTTTACTGAAGTTGTGCTGAAACACCCAAGTGGATTTGTGTATCGGGCGCTCTGGATTGCGGGGCGTGCGGTCATTTTTTTGATGGGGTTGGAGGTTTTGAGTGCTTTACTGCGTTGTCTTTAAAAAGAACCCAAGAAGTTAAAGTATATAAGAAAACAAAATGAACATCATTGGCTTTTGAGTGCGCCCTGTAGTGCGGAAAATACAGTACAGTGCAGAACACACCAACACCAACTTAACTGAATAAATTTTATACAAAAAAATGAATTATTATGACTATATTTTTCCTGCATGACCACTGGCAGTTGAGTTAGACCCTTGAGTCATAGATCTGTTCAAGGTTTCTTCCTACAGACTAACATAAACCTGAACTGAATTAAATAAATAAACTACAGACTAAGTGACCTCTTTCCAGCTGGCAGTACTAGGACTTTAGAAACGTGCTGTGCTCAAGCACGATTGTGTAGGGTTGTATGGCCCACACTCATACCTGCACAACTGAACTGGGCCAAAGCCCGATGACATCAACACACGGCACTGTTTCTTTACATGTCGCGCAGTAGTGCTATCGCTTTTAGCGGAGAAAGTAAGTCCAGCAGCATGAACTATCTATTAGTGAGACAGATATGAGTCCTGCTGTGATACGCGCTCCTCTGATTTTATGGACATAAAAACAGCGCAGAGGAGTGAGGTCAGCTGGAGACGGGAGAGTGCAAAACTTCTGTCACTGTCCAGTCCTTATTGAAGGCAAGGTATATTGACTGTATGTTTTGGAGCGGAGTTTATTGACCATTTTCCCATGTATGAGTAACATCAGCGAGCACACAGGGCTTGTATTCCAAATATCGTCCGTGTGCATGTACATGAGCAATCTTGCTGTGCTTTGGCCCACCTCCTAATCCTAAATTTCAACAGGGCGGGGCCTGGGGTTCATTTTCTCTCACACTGGACAAACTTTTTTTGCACTTTAGGGGTGATCCCTGCTTGGACACGGTTCTAAAGTTCTAGTGTGAGTGTACCCTTAATGTTTGATACATTTTAGATCATTGCATTGGCTGCTTTGTTATTTGATGCATGTTAGAATGTTTAACTCGTCACATTACATCTGTGCGCAGTGCTCTCCTTAATTGTGGGCTGTATGAAGCACTGTTTTGTTTTCCTCATTTGCATACTGAAATATTTGCTTGCAAATGTGAGTGAAATGGGCACACTGTATAGCCCTGGTGTACCTACAGCTTTCACAAAGGTCACGTTTTTGAGGGATTCTTCATTTTCACAAGAGGGACCTGTTGAAAGATGAATTAATTTAGCCCTGCTCTAGCCGCCACCCTGCTGATTGGTCAGAAAAGTTCACAGTGCACCACCACAGAATGCTAGTTTCTTTGATGCTTTGATTTTTATGCTGAAACAAGTTACCCGACTAAATGACTACTAAACTGTTTGGGGGTTTTTTTGGACTCCAACATTATTTGCCTAGAGAAGGTTTTATGCACCCAAACTGACACAAGAAATGTGAAAAAGGTGTTTTCAGTGAACAACCAGTTTTGTTATAAATATATTCTTGCAAGACGTTCTCTAGAAGCATCTCTTTAGTTTAATCTTGGTCAAATTGATAAAAAATCTCACAGGCCCTTTTGCAATCTGAACAACAAATTGATAAATGAAAAGAGTAATTGCCAGACCTCGATTTATCAAAGTAATTGTTGCAGCAATATTCAGTATAAATATTAAATTGTTCGATACTGGTGTAACCATTCTATACAAGTGCTTGCTCGATACACGTGTTCCTCCATGCACGCTGTGTCTTTTTTTTTTTTTTTTTCCCCGGTAAGCAGCTTGCATGACGTCCTCCCCAGATGCAGTGAGTAAAAAGGCTCCATAGAGGCTCTACCCAAAGCATGCTACATAGGTCTCCAGGAAGAATAGCTGATAGCTAATGGAGGTCAATTAAATTACAATCAATCAGGCTTACAGCTTTTTTTTAATTTTACATTGATAGACCCAGGAATGGGTCTAAAGGAAAGCTATAAACTTTTACTTGCTCAAGCACTGCTTAATCAAATGCACTCATAAATGCACATGTGGCAACTCTCGATATACGCAATCTTTTTTTCAGACTTTTATAAGTTTTACTCAAATGGTCTATTGAGACATTTCTATAACCTCGTGTTCAGAAAGAGGATGGTAGAGTTCTGTCTGTAAGAGTACGTAGCAGGGAAGAGTGGGAGAAGCTACTCTCTGTTGCTACTGATGCTGGAGCTGATGGAGGGAAGGAGGTTGTCTTTTAGGATTTTTCGGTACATGGCTCTGTCCATCCTCCCGTTGACACAGTGAAGTTGTCCTGTGCCCTTGGCAAGAAAAAAAACACTCCCAAAGCAGAATGTTTCCACCTCCATTCTTGATGGTGGGGATGGTGTTCTTGGGTCATAGGCAGCATTTCTCTCTTCCAAACACAGCGAGTTGAGTTAATACCAAAGAACTTGATTTTGGTCTCATATGACCACAGCATCTTCTCCCAGTCCCCCTCTAAATCATTCAAGTGTCCATTGGCAAACTATAGGCAGGCCTGCACATGTGCCTTCTTAAGCAGGGGGACCTTGTGTGCGCTGCAGGATTTAAATCCATTGCAGAGTAAAGTGTTACCATTGGTTTTCTACCTGTGATTCCAGCTGCCTTGAGATCATTGACTAGCTACTCCCGTGTATTTCTAGGCTAGGCTCTTTGGTCTCTCTTTGATCGTTTGGAGAGTTTGGAGTCAGATTCTGTGGATAGGTGACCAGTTAAAACAGGAGTCTAATTCAGATAACTAGTTGATTAGGAGTGTCTAAGTGGTCTGTGGGAGCCAGAACTCTTAATGGTTAGTTGGGGATCAAATACTTATTTCACACAATGAAAATATCAGTCTTTCAACATTGAAATAAATCTACCATTCAAATTAGACTTTTCATTTCTTTGTCATTAGGCAAACCTACAAAATCAGCAAGGGATCAAATGCTTATTTCCTCCACAGTACATATTTGTTTTTCTTGGCCATAAATTATATATTTTCGCTTATTTTTTCATTGCTTTTATGGCCCCTGAAACTTTTACAGCTGAAAGGCCACATTACTATAATAGTGTTGAACCATTTTTTTTTTTTACAAAAAAAATAAAAAAGCAGTGTTGCAACAGGTTTAATAAAGTGCTTGTTCATGGTGTCACTCGGTATCATGTTACAGATTTACTCTGAATTCTGACAGTGTACAGACCAGCTCAAAAAATTTATCACGAAAAAGTTTTGGTCACTTGTTTCAGAAAGTCAAACCCACATATAGACTTTTGAAATATTTCACTCTATTTCCTTTTGTGGCTTAGAAATAATGACAAAAACAAAAGTCTGTCTCAGAAAATGTGAAAAATTATATAAGAGAAATGTTTTTTAAAATATGTTAATTTCTATGCACTCAATACTTGGTTGGGCCTCATTTGGCATGAATTACTGCATCAATGTGCCATGACATGTAGGCGATCACTCTGGCATTTCACAGGTGAAATGAATGTCCACGTTGCCTTAATAGCGGCCTTCAGATCATCTGCATTGTTGGCTCTGTTGTCTCTACTCATCAATACTCCAGAGATTCTCTATGGGGTTTAGGTCAAGTGAGTTTGCGGGCCAATCAAGCACATTAACACCATGGTCAGTGAACCATCTTTTGGTACCTTTAGCTGTGTGGACAGGTGTCAGGTCCTGCTGGAAAATGAAATCAGCATCTCCATAATGCTTTCTTCTGCTGACAAGCTTTAAGTGCTGTAAAATTTCCTGGTAGGTGGCTGTGTTGACTGGACTACAGAAAACAGTGCACCAACAACAGCAGATGACATGGCAGCCCCAATCATCACTGACTGTGGAAACTTCACACTGAACTTCCCCACGATTCTGTAGCCCACTGACCAGATGTTGAAAGGACCATTTAAAGGCTCAGGAAACCTCTGCAGGTGTAGCTGATTAAGGTGTGACACTGACTTTTGAATATTGAACTTTTTCACAATATTCAATTTTTTTGAGACAGAATTGTTTTTTCATTTATCTGTAAGCCATATTGATTCTAAATTCAAGAAAGGGCAATATTTCAAGAGGTTATGTGTCTATATAATTGGGGTTGATGGTCTAGTAGCAAAAATAGCAAAAGACGTGTCTAATAAGGCATAAATATATATGTAAAAGTAGAAATGTACAAAGTCAAAAAAACAAACCACTAGTTTTTTTCCTCAAATTCAGTGCCCCATCTTAATTGCCATTCTGGCAACATTTTTGAGGGGAATACTGTTCAGTCAAATGGCTTGTCTGTGCCTTAATCCCTGCTCCAGGCAAACGCATAGGTGGAGCACCTATGAGAGGGCGTGGATCCGCTGGAAGAGTGTCCATGAGAAGAGGCAGCCGGCAGCGTGGAGGCATGCCAGGACGTGGAGGGGGCCTGTCCAGAGGAGGAGCTCGGGGAGGAGCCACCAGAGGTGACCTCTCAGCCTCTGTTTATGCTAATATTTGTCTCATTACACTTGTAATCTATGCAAAATTCACTAAAAAATTCACATAATGCGAAGATCTGAAATGGCTGGATTAGCTCATCCGAGAGGCTTGGTCAAATTGGTGTTGTGTACACTGCCTTATATATACCTGAAGGGAGGAGCAAACTACACTGAAACTACTACACCTACTGTTGTTACCTTGGTCGATTGAATTACACTACCGTATTTTCTGAACTATAGGGCACTCTGGATTATAAGGCGTGTCATTGAATGGTCCATTTTCAAACTTTTTTCACAAACAAAACACAACAGTTGGATAAGTCAGTCAAACTTTAACGCGTTCACAATAACTCAACTTTGTTCAGTTGTAACGTGTAAAAAAAAAAATACTGTCAGACCTCTAAATTGTTAGCGTTCACAATAACAATAAATAGTTCAAACAGTTGGGCGATTATGGCATCCAGCACGCCCGCATCCCTCTCGTCATTATCCCAAGTCAGTGTCGTTACTATTACCTGGCAGTTCAGTGATGATTCCGGTCTTCGTGAAAGCTCAGACCACAGTTGATACTGATCCTTAGCCCAGGCGTCCATGATCCGTTGGCAGATCGTGGCGTAAGTCGCTCGGCGCGGTCTCCCTGTCTTGGTGAATGTGTGTTCGCCTTTTCTCATCCACTGCTCCCACGCAGCTAGCAGTTTAACTTTATAATAGCCTTGAGTTTAAAGTCCGTGTTGTAAGCATGTCTCTTGACAGGTGTATTTTGATATTAAAAGGAATCACAGTATGTATTACTCCGCGATGCTCCTGACTACGGTAGCCATAATGCTGCAAGTGGAGCAGCTTTGTAGTTTACTGAAGTCGTGCTAAGACACTCGAATAAATTGAATATAGTGCAGAAAATACGGTAAGCGCAAAATCTTCCTGAGTCATATTGGCATAATTGTTAGGCTGATGATGGGTGCTCACGTCTATTGGCATACTGGCTATCACTGTTGTTTTCCTTGTTTTGATTTAGGTCTGAGGATGGGGATATAAATTGGAGATAAATGATGTCCAAGCCCTCCATTCCTGTTCAAAGGATTTCTTTTTCTTCAAAAGAAAAGGCATAGTTTGAGAGGGGAGCTAAACAGTTTTTTTTTTTTGTTGTTTTTTTAAAGATAGTGAGGCACAGACCCTAGCCAAAGGAGTGGTTTAGTGGCTTTGAGATGGAGATATACAGCAGACTGGGGTCCTGTGCTGCTCTGGTACATTCTGTTATGGAGTGGTTATTTTGTTTTTTCAATATAATGCTCACTGCAGTCTTTGCTACACTGAATGAAGTAGATTATATTGCTTTGTGCCTTGGACTTTTGTCCTAATTTCTGCCTTAAAGTGTTTGTAGTTTTGAAATGGACTCATGCTGTCCATTGTAGCTTTTTGTAGGAATAGTTACACCCTTTCTCTTAGGTTCTGATAATCTAGTTCTGTTTTTAACTGTTTGGAAGGTGGAATTCTTTAGGAAGCCCACACATGACAGATACCTGCTTTTTGATTCACACCATCCACTCCACCACAAACTTGGAGTTATTTGAACACTGAACACAACAGAGGGTTCAAGTGGTTCCTAAAGCACAGAGTGAAAAGAGAAAGCATGTGGAGAAAGCCCTCTCGGTTTGAATACCAACAAACGACCAAAAAAACAAAACAAATCAAAATCTAGGAGAAAGGGTGTAGCTATTCCTTTCACAGCTGGTGTGTCTGAAAAACTACAACGGCTTTTCAGACAGCATGAGATCCAGCATGAGAAAGACAATCCATCTTTAAAAAGGAATGAGGGGTTTATACATTATCTCATGACTCACAGTTCACACTCAGTGTAGTTCAACAGACCTAGGTAATAAACTGTAAATAAGTAGGTGTGTTAGTTTCAGTGCCATTAGCTCTTTCTTTCAGGCAGATAAAAGGCACTGTCCACCAGCAATTTGACCAAAACAAGAAGTCATCTCATGGGTGAGCTGTGAAACATTGTCACTCAAACTTCTGTCCAGCTGACAGAAAAATGTTATTCTTTTGCTTAAAAACAAGATAAGGTTTTTGATATAGATGTATCTCACATCATTTTGTGGTGTCCAGGTGTAGAACAGGTTTAGTTAAGTGTTTAAGTCTAGGCAGCACTTTGAGCCACTGGGTGAAGTCTAAATTTATCATTGAAACCATGAATCATTATTAATCCTAAATTTGAAGATAATTATGCCCTGAGTGAACTTTTATGTATTTAGAATATTGGAATAATGGTGTTTTTTATTTTTTTAAACCCCATATGCACCCTTAGTGAGTTGGCTTGCATCTCCACTAACCTGACCTGCTTGGTTTGGAGGAGGGCCTTTTTCTGGAAGGGGTGTTCTTTTGGCTGTAATCTTCCAGAGTATGACAGCAATTTCTATGGAGAATGTCTCAAATTGTGGTTTTAAAGGATCACAGCATAGCCTACACTCACACTGTATCACTCAGAAGCTACACATAATTAATTAATATTTGGCTTTTTAGGTGCTGGGGTTTAGGTAGTGATTCAGATTAGAGATGGTTGTTTTTCATATCATCATCATCTCAGATATCAGCATTGAAACTGGCAAGCCAAAGAGAGACTAATATAATGATAAACTACACTGTGTGCCTAAGTATTAGGCAAGTTGTATTTGAGGATTAATTTTATAATTGAATAACTACAGTGCCAAATGCAAAATCCAAAATGATAATAAACCTCAAAACTAGATATTTAAGAAAGTAAAAGTGAAGTTTTTATTTTAAGAGAAAATCTATGTGTGCAAAATTATTGTTAAACTTAATGTGTAGAATATAGCCATCCCTCTTATCAATAATGGTCATAAGCCTTCGATTCATGGAGTTTCAGTCTTTTTGATCAACCACAGCCTCCCAAACACTGTTCTCAGAGATGTACCATTTTACTTCATCATAAAGCTTAAGAAGGGCCCACAAGTTCTCAATAGGGTTTAGGTCAGGTGAGAAAGGGGGGCATTTAATTTTCTTTTGTCTTTAAGGCCTTTACTGGCTAGCCACACAGTGGAGTACTTCGACACATGCGATGGAACATTGCCCTGCATAAAAGTCATGGTCCTCGTGAAAAATGCAGACTTTTTCCTGTACCACTGCTTGAAGAAAGTGTCCTGAAAAGGTTCAACAAGCTCATCTTTAATAATACCAGCTCATACCAGTAAGGCATCTCCACCTTGCTGGCGTCTGAGTCAAAGTGGAGCTCTGCCCATTACTGGTCCAGTCACGGGCCCATCTATCTGGTTTATCAAGAGTCACTCATCTCATCAGTCCATAAAACGTTTGAAAAATCTGTCTTGATATTTCAGCTGGTTTCTTGTTCAGTGGTGGTCGGGTTTCAGTCTTCCTCACCTTGGCCATGTCTCTGAACACCTAATTCTAGGCACTCTAGGTAGGTTGCAGTTCTGGAATATGACAGCACTGGAGGATAATGTGTTCCAGGTAGCTTCATATTTGATTCTTCTCAAATCTCTTGCAGTTAATTTGCATATTTTTTATTGTAACATTGACTATTTGCATTAAAATGTTTGGTTCTGTGATCACACCCCATTATTTTTTCAATTTCAAGACTGTTGCATCCCTCTGAAAGACTTTACAGTTCTTGACTTTTCAGAGAGATGCAGGACATTTAAAATTGCAAGATATTGGGATGTGATCACAGAACATCTAACATTTTGTTGCAAATAGCCATCACTGTTACAAGAAATATGTTTAGGAAAAAAAATCAAACATGAAGCTACCAGGAACACATTATCCTACAGGCTGTCATATTCCAGAAATGCAACCTACCTGGAGTGCTTGGAAGTACAAGGTGGTCAGTGCTTAGAGACATGGCCAAGGTAAGGAAGGCTGAAAACCGACCACAAGAAACATGAGCAGTAATGTCAAGACTAGGACAAGAAATATCAGAAGAAATTTTTTTTAAAGGTTCTATGGACTGATTAGATGAGTGACTCTTGCATCAGTAATGGGCACAGAGCTCAACACTTTTTTTTTTTTTACTACTGGCGCCCCACTGTGGCACCTGATTTACCCAACATCTCCCATCCAAGTAGTAACCAGGCCTGGCCTTGCTGAGCTTCTGAGATCTTCTGAGATCAGGCTTTGACAAGTGTTGGCCACAAATGTTGTACATGTACTGTAATAGTAATTGCAATGTGTATGTTTCAGGTCGGGGGGGCTTAAGGGGCCGAGGTGGTTTTGGAGGCCGTGGGGGCAGAGGCAGAGGGCGTGGCCGTGGCTTGGGTCGCCCCACAGTGACCCGGGAGCAGCTGGACAACCAGCTGGATGCCTACATGTCAAAGACCAAGGGCCACCTGGACGCAGAGCTGGATGCCTACATGGCACAAGCAGACCCTGATGCCATGGAGTGACCTGAGCTGGCAAACACTGGTGTCTGGCTTTTTTTCTTTTTTTTTTTATAATTTTTTTTTTTTTAACCATTACTTTTGCTTCTCAATGTATTTATTTTTGTTAACTGCACAAAGTCAAACCTTAAATTGCCTGTTTTGTACTGAAAATAAGTATTGTTTACTTTATAAGGTCCAATTTGTCTTTTTTTTATCTTGACAAATTGTAAATTTTTAGTCAAATGATGCGGTTTTAAGACTTTAAACCTTTAAAAATATGCATTCAGTGAAAAAAAATACTGACCTGCCGTGGCATTTCTGATCGATGCTTTAAAAAAATCTAGACTAATGAGAACAATGTTATGGTTGGTTCTATTTTAAGGTATTTTTGGTAGTTTGTGAAGGTGTAAAATGCAAGTGATGTCTGGGGTGTGGAGAAATTGCCTATAAATAAAAAGGATGTTTGAAATAATGTCTGTCTTCTCTTAGAAACTAAGTTGTCAGTGATTTATAAAAACTTTTTAAAAGCTCACTTCGTCGGTATGTGGACAGTCTTGGTTAAGTTATGACCTGTAGGTGGCAGTAAGACCGCTCCGAAAGTCGTCATGCCACAAAAGAAGGCAGCCTATGACTACTACATGTCTTATATTTTAAACGACGCATCGCGCTTTGGCCTTCACTGTGGAGCCGATGAATCTATTAGGACTAGGTCTAATGATATCCACAGCACTAGATTTAAGTTGATGCTGACGGCTCGGACGTAGATTGCGTCACGTTGGTGTCAGCCAATCAATTGTTCGCGTTTGGAAACGGGCTCCACAGACGTAGTTCTTGCAATCATGGCGACGTTCCGAAGCGATCACGGAGATTGAAAATACGAGTGCTTTTAATTTGAATCCGCCTTTAGGCTGTCTGTAACAATGTGTTGGGGTTAGCGAGAGCCACCGAGGCCTAGCTGGAAGACCATGGTCCCAGAGGTAAGCATGGCAGCCGTGGAAGAAAGCGGTTTAGTTTGTTTTCGGATAGCGATAGCCTGTAGCCTTTTGGGCTAGCGCCTAGCGCCAGGTAAACAGAGCCTGACAGCCCTAAATGTGGACCGGGATTACAGCGTAACTCTGCTTAATACGATGAGCCGATCAGATCCGCTGTCAACACCGCTCTCAAATTGGCTGCACTCGAGCAGTGGAATAGAATGTCTTTAACATTGTCAATATGAGCCCCAACTAAGCCAGTCTGTGCATTACAGAGCCTCAGGTGAGCCATGCCCGCAGGCAGATCATGACGGGGCTGGTTTGGCGGAGTTAAAATTGAGACAGCGGCCATTTGAAACGGGTTCTGTTGTAGTCCTGACACAGCGGGGTGATATGAGTCTTCAGCCTGCTCACAGAGAATGTAGTGTCCAAAGTGTCTGTGGACTATGTGAGATTTTAGTGAGTTCGTTTGCTGTGTGGGAATAGAAAAGGTTGAAGCAGCATTACTTGCCACTAGCGTTTAAGTTGTGGGCTACTGTATTTACCCCTAACTGTAAGTAACAACAGTTAATTTAGCTCTGGCTCCTCGTTGCGGAAATTCTGTGTTAATACAAAATTACAGATTGTAAATATCAAGTGTGTTGTGGCATGTCCAATGTGAATTTAAATCCATTAAAAAGACTTATCCATGTATCCATGTGTCACATGACAGTGGTGACTGGTGTGGAGCCGTGAGCGTGACCAACTCTGTTAACTAGTGTGCAGTCTGTCAACCTTCGGATCATACATAGCCATAGACTGCCTATGTACACAACACTGCGATATGCTGTAGAAACGCAAACAGAATTCTCCCGTAGCATTCAGCTAAGAAAGAATTCAGAAGTGAAATAGTTACTTCAGTGCAAAAAGATTTAACCGCTGCTCTCAAGCCATGCATACTTTCTGTGAAATGTAGGCTACCATCATTTATTACTACATTATAATAATCCTTAAAACCTTGCGGGCCTTTAAAAATGCCCTGAAGTAGAAGATGTCACTGTCACTGTGCTCAATATGTGTTTTAATACTTGGACATGAGTGGGACAGCTATACCTTCTTTTGTTCAGTAGAAATTGGTAATTCCAGATCCAAGTGATTCTAGTGAAGGTGTATAGAGTTTAAAAACACAGTTAAGTACTTCCTGTATTACCGCATGACTTCACAACGTGGAACAGAGGGTTTTCTGTTTGAGAGAAGAAACAAAACACAACTACACAACTACAGGTAACAGATCAGAAAATAGCGTAACATGGACTCTTTAAGAATCTAAACAAGGTGTGCACACAACCAGTATTTCTTGTACAGAGGATAACGCTCACTTTAGTTGTATTATGACAGGTTCAAACAATAGTAAGTGTTCTTCAGTTGTTAAAGTAAGTTATGTTGATTGAAAAGGAAGGAAAGGAAGGGGGTTAAATTAAATCAAATCCTGTTGAACATGCTAGCACAATAATGTGGTCAGTCTTTGATTTATTTAATACTTTTTCTTTTATGTGCACATAATATTATCCTGCTTGATAAAGTAAACCTTGGGCATGTGCAGTTTGTGCTGGATTTCCTGCTCTGACAATAATAGGAAAATCTTGAGTGGGAGTCAAATCTTTTTCTGAGTCAGCCATGGCCAGAGCTCACCTTACTATGCCCGAGAAATATTGTAAATATTGCATTGATACATTTTACTCTCTGGTGAAGTGGCCCTCTCTCCACACCCGCAGACAAACCCATTGGTTATTGTTCATTTATAAATGTTTTATTGGTAAAACTCCGTCCTACCTCAGCTTACTTTTGCACATCCACAGCTCCAGCCGCACTCTGCGCTCCAACAGATACATAACCCTGGTCATTCCTAAAGCCTGCACAGCTTTCGTCTGTTCCTCATTTCAGTTTTCTGCAGCAAGTGACTGGAACCACCTTCAACAGACTTTAAAACTTAGTCAGTTTTTACCTCTGTAGACTTTTAAAAACTCCATCCACAGTATTTTACAGGATAATTGCTCATGTTTTTAACACTTTTATATCTTTAATCTGCAAATGTTTTACTGTCTTATATTTATATTCACTATTTCATGTTATAGTTGCTGTGTGAGTGTCTTCTGTTTGTGCTTTTGTTTAATATTGCCTTTTGGCCAGGTCGTCATTGTAAATGAGAAGGTGTTCTCAACTGACTTACCTGGTAAAATATTGAATAAATAAAAAAAAAAAATTGAAACTAGTAGTTATAATAGTAGTTTATTTTCCTCAACATAATAGATTGATGAAACATTTTGCATAAAACTATGAATGAAGGGGTTTTAGGCTGAAATGAGATCACTTATGAATGCCCATAACCTATTTCAGTGCTTGACGTTTGAGGGTGTAATGCCTTTTTTCTATCCTGTGGTGTCACACGCCTTTTTAGCAAAATCCAAAAATTATTTCCAAAAACAAATAAATTCTACAATAATTGTGAAGAAGTGAAGATGTTTCCACAAACATCACATTTTTTTTGTGTAACTTTTAATTTTAGGTAGTTTAACATGCCCTGCAATATGACCTCTCCTGTCACCCTGCTGCACATTTACTATAAAATATTCTAATAATTGACTTAACATGTCTATAGTGCCAGTTGAATGATTATGTAACAGTTCCATCTTAAAGAATATTTTTTGTGTAACTGTCTTTTTAGACCTGTAATTTTTCATGTCACACCGCAGGAGGGATTACAGCATTTTTGAGATTGAAAATAGTGATAAAGATGTAATATTATTATGCACAATGCTTCCCTTGTATACATGTACACATGCTTCCCTTTATGCCAACACCAGAAAAAATTTTATTTAGAAAGTCATTTAAAGTGATTACGCAGAAAATGGGCATCACCTCAAGTGCCCATTTACAAATTATGATGCCAAGTATAGGCTGCCAGCAAACAAAAGCGACAACATGATTGATCAGAAACAGAAAAACTGAAAAAAATTAAAATTAAAAAATCTGTACGATGCTTCTTTTGAGTGTATTCTCTTCCAAATTAATCTCTTAAATTAATCTCTTAAATTACTTTATGCCACTGACACAAAGTAGGCTCAACCCAGTAAACCCATTTTTAAATTATACTATGTCTTTATAAGACATGAGCTGCAACAAACATATAGCAGAATTAACTAATAATTAGCCATAGAATGTATTTACTTTACCGTCACAGCAAAAATTTTTCTTGATTGCGTGAAAATGTCAGATTCACTCTACTCTAGTTTAATGGCATGTTTTCTGTGCTTTAGGCGAGCCTGTCCTTCTGGGGATGGGGAGGCCTCGGAGTCGTGCTCTTCTTCATCACCTTTGGACCCTTTGCCATCTTCTACTTAGCCTTTTATTTCCTGTGTTTCGTCGGAGGGTGAGTCCAGCCAATGCCTCTGTTCTCCCGCCTGTATATGCCTCATGTCTGTGTCCTTGTCCCACAGGGGCTTTGCCGTAATTCTCCTTTATGGAAAAATCAACTCGGAGAAACACCTGGAGAGCTGTGAGCACTCCTACCTGCTGCCCACAGCTACTGGGATCATGATGGTATGCAGATCCCTCTGGGCTTCACAAGGCTCTGTCCCTGGAGCAGCTAACTCTAATTGAAACTTTGCAGTGGCTTGTGGCGTTCTACAGTGCAGTATCAGTCAAGATTGACAAAAGGTTATTTTTTTACTGCTTTCTACATTTTAGATAGATACAGACATCAAATGTATAAAGATATATGGATATAGTAGAAAAAAGTTAAATAACTACTAATTTTTTTTTTATACTTTATATTCAAAATAGCCACCTTTGTGCTGTGTTAAAAAATATGTACTTATGATAAGTTATTAAACTTTTCCCTGCTACATAATATATAATTTATCTTGCTTCATATATTTGATGTCTTCTGCAGGTATCTAAAATGTAGAAATCAATAAAAAATAAAGTAAAAAAAAGAAGGTGCATCCAAACATTTGACTGGTAGTGTATCTGTGGCGGAATGTTCAACAGTCACCATGGTGACACAATGCACACATTTGCTAATGTGTGCATTGTGTCACCATACTTTTAAGATTCAAGCCTGAAAAAAATGAAAAAAATACAAAATGGAATTAATCTTCAGGAGCCTGTGATCAATACGAGCATTCATGGTCCTGTTTAGGAGTTTGAAAAAGGTGATTGTGAGTAACTGAAAAACTGTTCACTGATGCTATCTGTCTATAATGTTATTTGTGAGAGACTTGTTTAACAGCACCAATCAGCTCACCTGTTGTAGTTTCATGTAAGTCTTTAGGTTTTAGGGTTTGTTTATTTCGTCTCCTTGTGGAGAAATTTGCTTCAGAGCAGGGATAAGTAGCAGACATAACATGATATGACATAACAAGAGACAAAAGAAAAAACATGTAGAACTGGACAATATACATTTTTTTTTTGTTAATTAATTAATCATTGTATTTATATTGCACCTTTCACGATACCCAAAGCACTTTACAGTTCATTATTCATTCACTCAACACTCAGTGATGGCAGACTGACGCAAGCGAGGCTGCCATCGGCCCCTCTGACCACCACCATCACTCACACACACACCACTTTCATACTAGGCAATGTGGGTGAAGTGTCTTACCTAAGGACACAGTGACAGTTTGTGCCAATGGCGCCCCACTGTGGCACCTGATTTTCCTAGCAGTCTCCCATCCAAGTACTAACCAGGCCCGGCCTTGCTTAGCTTCTGAGATCTGACAGATCAGGCTTTGACAAGTTGGTATGGCCACAAATCACTCAGCCTCTCTACTTTCTCTCAATCAGTTCATGTTATTTTTGCATAAAGGAACCCCGTTTCTCCTCCCAGACTGCAAGAGCTCATGCTGTGTCTTGGGCACACGAGAGGAATTTCTGCAGTCCTTCAGAGCCTGTCTCACAACTGACTGTTCAAAGATGGTCTGTGGGGCAGTCAGAGTGGACACATCCATGATGTTAGCAGGCAGTTTCACCAGTCTAAGGATCTGCTATTTATATCTGACAGTCAGTTTTACAAACAATTATTCCATACCATGATTATTTGATAAGGTCAGCTCTTTCTGGTCAGATTCAGACAAAGGTCAGATTAAAGTCTAACTTGAGTCACAGAGCTTCAGACAGAGCAATATCTACAATTAGCATCACACCCCCTGGTGATATGGATGGCATCAGCTGCAAAGTAATGTCTTTGTTCCACAGACACTGGAGGAGATGAAGCTGGAGCTGAAGACTCCGAAGATCGACCGCAGACTGACAGGTTCCAGTTACATAGATGAGCCTCTGCAGCAGGTGAGGCTCAGACACAGCTCACTCAGTGGGTAGGCTCCATCCTGGTGTTAGGGGTTTAACCTCTCCAAATCACAGTTAAAGACATTCTTGGCCGATTAAAGACATCCTACCGATCGATTAGTCAGTAAAAGGGGGCGTGGCATAAGTTCTCAAAACGGTTATATATCTCAATGTATCTGACCCAAACTGCACTCACAAGACTACACCTGCAGGGAGAATTCATGCAAAGAAAAGTACTAAGAAACAATGTGGCAGATTAAACTTGAATCAGGAGTTTAATCTGCCTTTTTACATGTAAATACCAAAAAAAAAGAAAAACAGTCTTGAGCCTTGAGCTAACTCGCTAACTCACTTCTCCTTTCTGCTGCTATCCGATTTCCTTATAATCAAAATAAACAATTAGTCGACTAATACACATGTTTCTTGACCAACACACCACAGACTGATTAATCGACAGCCCTAAGGGTCTGCTAAGGGTGCAGAAGAGTATACTGTCAATACCATCCTTTTGAATGCATGGTTTTGATGCTGCTTTAAAAACAATATGGTATCGGTTCAGGTATATTTAATTCTCTAATCGCAAAGACTGCAGCGGTATGTGGCTGCGTACTACAGGCTGCACAGTGAGAAATACCATATGATCTCCACTGACTCTTGTCTTGGTGCCAAATTTCACATTATTCCATGGAACTAATAATTGTATTAAATTGGGGAATGGGAATGGAAAATTTTGGGGTCGTCTCATGAGAATAGCATTGGCCATAGAACATGTTTTTTATTGACTTTTTTGATTGGCATAACCAAATGGAATTTTGTGTAAGATTTAGAAAAACAAAATTTTGGGCCCTCCATACAAATGTAAATTATGTTGGTTTCTGTAGGGGGTGCTATCGCTTAATGACATTAAGATGACGTTTCTTATAATAATATCTTTTGGTTTCTACATCATTTAGAATTATCCTTTAAAATCCCTGCTGTCTGCTTTCTCATGCCAGGTGATTCAGTTTGCTCTGAGGGACTACATCCAATACTGGTACTACACTCTGAGTGAGGATGAGTCCTTCTTACTGGAAATTCGGCAAACCCTACAGAATGCGCTGGTGCAGTTCTCTACGCGGTATGCATACTCCCAACATAAATGTGGCCACATTTGGGGCTGAGCAGCCTGTAACACTGTGCTCCACAGGTCCAAGGAGGTGGACTGGCAGCCATACTTCACTACTCGCCTGGTGGATGACTTTGCCACTCATTTACGAGTGTTTGGGAAAGCGCAGGACCGGCTCGCAGAGCGAGATGATAAACAGGGTAAGTTCAATTTCACCTCTGCTCTTGTTCTTCTCATCAAAGGGCAAAGGTTACAGGTGTGTTTGCAGGGGACATGCTAGAGGAGATGGTGGACTGGTTCTTTGAAGCCGAGGTCGAGATGGAGAGGACGGTGTGCAGAGATATGGTGTGCACTAGTCCCAAAGACGAAGAAGGTAAATGTGACACAAAACTCAGTGTTACTGCCCTTTACTGCACTTTAATGCCCTGGTTAACCACAGCTGCTTGTGTCAGGTTTCCTGCGTGACCTGTGCGAGTTACTTCTCTATCTACTACTACCTCCTGGAGATTTCCATAACAAAAATATGAGATACTTCCTGAGAGTAAGCCAATCTGTCCTTTATGTGCTGTAATGAATGGGTGCATACCTATGTTCCCCGGTAGTGCTGTTCTCCATTTTGTATGGACAGGGGAACAGTGGTGCCTCGTATTTAAAAAGGTGCCGGTGTTCCCCAGTGCCACTGTTTCCCAGGACCTGCATGCTCAGAGAGGTCCCAGTGTTCCCCATGTTCATGTAGCAACCAACATTTGTTATTTTAGGCTATTAATTAACCTAATAATTTTATGGCAATAGGCAATAGCCTGTTCAGTTGATTCAGCTTATAATAGATGAGATGAGATGAGCTGGAGCAGGAAATGGTGTTAGGTACTTTGGCCTGAGAAGCGCTTTTCTCGGGAAGGCCTAAGTGCGTAGAATATATAACAACCCAAACTGGATTGACACTTCTGTCCGGATGCTTTGCACCACCTTGTAACCAGCCACTGTCCTTGAGCACAGAGGACAGAAGCAGGCTGCCCGGACCACAGAGCATTCTCGCTTTCCGTGCACGGATCCAGCGCGCAGAGGACGGCATGGAACCACTCAGACCCAGTTACTCTGACATTGGCACAAATACAAAGACCAGACCCCCATTCCTGTCCTGAGGGGCTGCGCGCTACAATGAGTGCTACTGAGTCTTTACCACTGTTGGCTGCAGTTGTTACCTGAACTCAGTGCTTCTGCTCTGGGCTGGTGTGCAGTGAGTTGCATACAAAGTTATATATGCTGCTGTTTTATTCATGCTAAGTTCATGATGATAACTTAAGATGAAGATGGCCTGTTAACTGGGAACCATTGGTACCTTTTGCAATTGGAGGTACCAATGTTTCCAGGGAGAACAGCTGTATCAGGGAACATCAGGCTGACCCCTATTAATGCATTTCAGACACTAATGTGGGCAGGTATCAGATAACCTATGTGAGATGTGTGCAGGAGGTCCTGGCTTGTGGAGTCCTCCTCCCTCTCATTCACCAGCTCAGTGACCCAGATTACATCAACCAGTTTGTCATCTGGATGGTAAGTGGACACCACAGCGCTTGCGCAGATCCTGCCTCACCATGATAACAGACTGAGAGCATGTCTTGTCCTCAGATCCGGGACTCCAGCTGTAACTATGAAGCTTTCATGAGCATACTGAAGCTGAGTGACAGAGTGGCTGAGCTGGAGGCTGTCAAAGATAAGGTTTTGGAGGAACTACAATACCTTCGCTCCCTTGACACTGCAGGAGATGGTGTGTCTTCTCATATATTTTGATTATTCAGTGAAAGGAATATGTTTTTTACAGTTGTTCATCAAAAACAATGCTAATGTACTACCGTCTGTAAGTTTACCCAAATCTGTTTATCAGTAGCGCAGACGTGAAAGCCCTCCTCCTCCTTACCTGGCCTGCAGATACAACACACATGGTTAATGATGCACCAATTAATGGCTGCAGGTGTTGAGCTTCAGATAGTGGAAATTCTGTCCTAGATAGTTTACTCTACCTTGTCATAAATAAATATATGTAAATATAATAGTTTTGTGCATGACTCATAGTTTTGAGGCTTTTTTCGTCATTGTTTAACAGTAATTAAAACATGGCCTCTCATATTGGTTCGCCTGTCCCTTAGACATCAATGTCATCAAGAACCAGATCAACAGCCTGCTGTTTGTGAAGAAAGTGTGTGAAAGTCGCATCCAGAGGCTGCACTCTGGAAAGGTAAAAGCTCAGAATAGGGAACAGGACCTTTCTAGATTATTATGGGAGGAAAAAAAAAAAGACACTTTTGGTTTCTTAAATGTAGAGGCTGTCAAATTAGGAAAATGGAAATTACTGCCACACCTGATGATTAGGTGGTATATACAGTCAAGCTCAAAATTATTCATACCCCTGACAAATTTTGACTTAAAGTTACTTTTATTCAACCAGCAAGTTTTTTCTTGATTGGAAATGACACAGGCGTCTTCCAGATGATAATAAGACAATGTACAAGAGGCATCATTGTGGTAAAAAAAAAAAATTGTCAGCTTTATTTACATTTGAACGAAAAGTGGCATGTCCAGAATTATTCATACCCTTCTCAATAATCAATAGAAAAGCCTTTATTTGCTATTACAGTAATCTAATGCTTCCTATAATTGCTGACCAGTTTTTTGACCAGCTTCCACTGGTATTTTGCCCCATTCATCTTTAGCGGTGAGCTCCAATGCTTACAGATTGGAGGGTCTCCTTGCCATCACGCTGATCTTTAGCTCTCTCCACAGATTCTCAATTGGATTCAAGTCAGGGCTCTGGCTGGGCCACTGCAAAATGTTAATGTTGTTGTCCAATAACCATTTCTTAAGCACTTTTGCAATGTGCTTTGGATCATTGTCGTGCTGAAATGTCCACTGGTGCCCAAATCCATTTTCCTCTTCAGGCTGCTTGATGTTGTTGTTGAGAATCTTGATCTTTGATCACTTTGTTCATGGTGCTGTTTACTGTGATTAGACTCCATGGCCCATTGGTTGAAAAAACATCTCCAAAGCATTAAGTTCCCACCATCATGTTTAACAGTGGGGATGATGTTCTTAGGGTTGAAGGCTTCTCCTTTTTTACGCCAAATCATCAATACATCATTGTAGCCAAACAGTTAAATTTTTATTTCATCTGACCATAAAACAAAACACCAAAATCTTCTTCTTTGTCCAGATGAGCATTTGCAAAGGCTAAACGGGCTTTTGTGTGCCTTATCTGGAGAAGTGGCGTCCTCTTTGGTCTACATCCGTGGAACCCAGCAGTATGTAGTGTCTGTTGGATTGTCTGTCTTGAGATGTTCCACCAGCAGAGCCCAGATTCACCTGGATGGCTTTGGTGGTGATCTGTAGATTCATTTTCACCTCTCCCACTATCCTCGTGACCAGCTCAGGTGTCACTTTTGGCTTCCGACCACATCCTCTGAGCTTTTCCACATTGGGGAACGTCTTGTATTTTTTAATAATATCGGTACTATCGCCACTGGAACTTGAAAACATTTAGATATGACCTTATAGCCCTTTCCTGACTTGTGAGCAGCTATAATACACAGCTGTAGATCCTCAGAGAGCTCTTTTGTCTTAGCCATGACTGTTCACAAACCAACTGCAAAGACCTACTGTTTTTCACCTATTCACTTGCTTAAAACAGCTCTTCCAAAGGAATCGGGGTCATTAGGAAGTTTTAGAACAGCTTGTGCTGTTTGGAATGGTATAGAACTTTGGATTTTCCCATAGATTCTGACAGTTTACAAAGAGTATGAATAACTTTGAACATGCCACTTTTTGTTGAAATGTAAATAAATGTAAATAAGATGAGAAATTGTTTTTTTCCACAATGATGCCTCTTGTACGTTGTATTATTATCTCCTGGGAGACGCCTGTGTCATTTCCAGTCAAGAAAAAGCTTGCTGGTTGAATAAAAATAACTTTAAGTCAAAATTTGTCAGGGGTATGAATAATTTTGGGCTTGATTGTACTTCCATAATCTTATCCTCCTGAATCCATGTTTCATTTCGAGCTAGAATATCTATGTGTGACCAGTTATTTCATTTATTGAAAGGAATTTGTTGAAAATTGCCCTAAGGTTGAGTAAGTCCACATTTTACATACTAATTTGTTTGTTAACAAATAAGCAATCCTGACCAAAATCACAAACTATCTGTGGTACTGCAGGCAAATCGTTTTTATTTAGTTTAAACAGAAAGAGGCTATACAGAAAAATTTAATTTAAAGAATGAGTTCTACACATTTATCAATCTATAACAGCTCTTGCTGAAATCAATTGGGAAAAGGTGGTACAACATTGAATATTTGAATCTGATTAAAGAGTGGTCCTCAGGTACATTTGTTTCTCTTCTGTCCTTTACTGTTCTAGGAGGTGGATGCATTGAAGTTGGCAGCCAACTTTGGCAAGCTATGTGTCATCCCTCTGGATCACATATTAGTCCACAACATTGCACTGCAGTTCTTTATGGGTAAGTAGTTCTATTAATGCATTAGTCTTAAGGTGAGAAACTACAATGTCATGTATGTTTTTTTGGTTTGTTTGCTCTCAACATAAAAGCTTTCACCTGGAGTCAAACTTCAAACAAACAAACTTCAGTTGCACATAAAGATGTTTTATTATTTCATTTAATCAGTCTGCATTCTCACAGCCCACGTGATGTTTTTGGTCATTTTACTGACAACTTCATTCTAATACTTTAATACTTAAAAAATAATTCTACAAATGACTCAAAATTGCTGGTAACAACACCAGCAACTGCTGTGAGGCTAAATAGGACTAATGTGTCTGTCACACAGGTCTATATTCCATACTCATAAAGTCTTTTGATTGTATGATATGGTCAGACTATGTCTAAAGTGACCACCCATTAGCTGTGAGAATCCCATCTATATGAATTATAAAGATTCAAGTTGTTGGCTGTTGCACCTGTAGCCAGTTTAACTTGGTTTAGTTTAGGGTACAGATGCCACAAAAGTCCCATAGAGAAGAGTATTGCTGTCAGTGCTTCAATCCTCTGCTGATGGTATATAAGAATACAGTACCAGTAACTGCTCTGAGAATATACAGTGGCAGCCTTAAGTCTTTTCTTGCTTTTGTGGTTCTGTTGTCACACATTTGAGATAAGTATAACTCCAAATGGGGTTACCGATCGTACCCTTATATTTACACAAAACCCCACTGCAGTTGTACCCTGATTCAACAACCGGTTTCACTTCATAGAAACCGTCTGAGCTCATAGAGTTAGAATTTGTTCGCTCAACGGTAGGTGGGTACTTTTTATCATTTAACCAGTCGCTGCTATTTGGTCATGACGTATGTAATGCACGGCTACTGGGCTAACTGGTATACTAAGCTTTTCCCAAATCCTGTAGGAAGAAGGGCAATAACTTCTTTCCCCTTGATGAAATTCACCAAACATTCTATTTATTCCGGCTTTAAATCCTCGATCTTGGGAATCATTGACAACACTGAATATATGACTCTTCGCTGATTGGCTGGTGCCCGAACTTGCACTTCCAGGGTTTTTGTGAACTGTCTAGTGTATTTTGATCCCTGGACCTAGTTGCTGGAGAGAAATGAAATTCAGCGGAGGCACTAGGTAGTGCCAGCCTGGCTATTGCAGTTGTTCTACATTGTCAAAACTTTAGTATTTTAGTATATTAGTATTATTTTTACCTGGATGACTGACCATGAGAATATTCTTAAAATGTTCTTAAATTTAAAATAATTTGTACTTAAAGATTTATTGTGCTTGTGTCGGCAATATAGTTATAATCTATGACCCCTGTGATCATTATGCTATACTATGTTAGTGTTGTGGAAATATTTTTTTGCAATAATGAATTTCCAAAGCCTTGTGATTTATGAAATAGAAAGCAACTTTTCTTCGTTGCAACATGATATAGGTGTGATATTCACGAATGATTTAAAATTCAGGCATCATGTCAAAGAAGTGTGTAAAGTGGCTCATAAGGAGATCTTTGTGCTGAGATTACTTAAAACAAAGCTGCTACCAAGAAGTAATGAACTTCTGTTACGCATTTACAAGGCCTATATTAGATCTCAGCTAGATTACTGCTCAGTGTTAATATGAGGTGCAGGAAAGAGTGATGAACTGTCTAGAAAGTCTCCAGTGGCGATGCATGCACATCATTCTCCACCTGCCATATCGTGCCCATATAATCCCAGAGCACTACAGAGCACTCGGGTTGACCACACTGCAAACCAGATGCAATTTTGCACTGGCATGTTTTGCATTTAAACTGTGCCACAGACTTTTGTCAGCAGCCAACTCTGGGACGATACCAACTCTACCTTATAATGTACGGCGGGCCACCTATGTGTGTTTTTTTTTTTTTTACTTTAATGAATAAATATAATTTAATTGTCTATCTATCCATCTATCTATCTATCTGTCTATATATATATATGTATGTATGTATGTATGTATGTGTATATATATGTATGTATGTGTGTGTGTGTGTGTGTGTGTGTGTATATATATATATATATATATATATATATATATATATGTATGTATATGTGTGTGTATATATATATATATATAGATAGATAGATAGATAGATAGATAGATAGATAGATAGATAGATAGATATAGATATAGACATATATCTATATCAGCGCTGGCCTGAAACTGCCAGCCTCCCTGTGTCTCTCCTCTCTTCCTCCAGTCTTCTCACAGTAGTTATACCAGAATGCCAACACCATCATATATTACAGTGAATGGGTGGGTCACATGGTGAGGTGTGACCAGGTAGCTGTGATGGCAATCATGAGTTGCTCCCTGCTGTTTTGAAGAGCCACAATTGTAGCTGTTTTCTACGGAGCCCGCCCGATGACGTACGCGAAAAAAGATATTAAATCGTGGCCTCAAATTACTATTTCGTTCCCACAATATATAATTCGTTCCCACACTTTAGCTAAATCGTTCGCACGTTTTAGATATATCGTTCGCACGTTTTAGATATATCCTTCGCACGTTTTGATTAAATCGTTCCCACGAATTAAGAAAATGCCGCCAATTAAACAAACAGGGCGTGGTGTTCGGTTGATTTGGCAAGTCCTTCTTGCATGGCTAGCTGGACCTCGGACTTCAGCAGACACAAATAAAGGTAAGATATATCATTATTTATATGTTTGCCCCCCATTTTGACAACGTATATTGTTCCCTACTCAAATGTATGCTTATGTAAATGTAGGCTTATATAAAATCCAGGATCGTGTAGTAGCGTGGCATAGTGTGCATGCTATAGCTAAATAAGAAAACAAAACAAAATGCTAGCTTAAATACTAGCGAGCTAATGCTGCTTGCTTATAGTGGAAATGTTATGGAGTAAAGTGACAGTAAAATTGTCCTAATTGTTTACCGTGTGTTCATGTAGCAATAGATGCTCAACTGCTGCTTTTTTGAGGGAGCGTAACACAGAGGAGGGAGTCATCCAGACACTGAAGGATGAAAATGTAAGTTTCTCTGTTTTTCCACCTCAGAACATTGATCTCGTAACATCTATAGCCTACAATACAAGTGCCAAACACACATCCATGTAGAATGTAAGATACCGATTTGGATGAAATGCGAATAGACCTGTATAGACCCAGTGTTAGCCCCAATTTCGTCTTAGCGTTAGCCATCTATCACCACAAACTATGAAGTACCAGGACTGTTTTGAAGACTTACAACCACTCAACTACACGTGAGTAACACCAGAGCCTGATAGGAATCACTGCCACATGTAGAATTGTTTTTGCATTGTTCATAGACGTAGCGATTAGCATCGAAATGAAGTTATATGCTAACGACCACGTAATAAACATTTCGTAAATCTAACGCTATGCTGGACAATAATACGCTAAAAAATAAAGAGGGCCACAACAGTTTGACAAGAAACCCCTCGATTTATTTCATCCAGAGCCACATAAATCCTGCATACAGTGAACTTTAAAGACTAGTGCTTATTGACACATGTAAGTAGACCGTGTCCTCAGCATCAAGCACCTCACTCCTGGAATAACTCTGGTACTTTGTGTCAGGACCTGATAAAACTTTTACATTTATTGTCCTGAGTATATATTTAATGAATACCTTTATACATGGTTATGCTATTACCATGATACAATGTGTAACACACGTGAAGACAGAGGCCAGAACTTGTTTGTAACAGTGTGACTGAAGAAATAGGAGTAATAGGGCTACAGAAAGATATTGTATGCACCATCACGTTGCCCAGATCTCTCACTTAACAAGATCTTGATTCTTGCTAAAATATACATCGACTGTTGGTACACTTCATAATATAGAACAATGTACTAAAACATGTTAACGTAATAAAGTGTATTCCAGATAGTAGTGTCCTGTTACATGCCTCCTTAAGATATAAATTATTTTGCAATTTCAAGACAAGTCAACTGCTTTTGGAGTGATCTGACTGTGTGATGAAAGCAATACCATGTAGAAAAAAGTCAATGGGTGAAACTGCGACATTTTCATATTTTAATTGAACTTGTATACTGTATAGTTGACAATGGTTCTCAGTTTTATGCTATTAGTTATAGTAAGGTTTGTTAGAAACACTTTTCAAAATAGTTTTCTAGATAGCCAAACATCCACCGTTTAGAATAAATAGAAAAACTGGCAAAGGACAAATTCAATTTGTCAAACAGACTAAAGCTTTTTTGAGTGAAAACGTTTCGCAGCTTATCCAAGCTGCTTCTTACTTCTGGTCAGATGCTGGTGGATATTGCTTTATATTTGCCTGAAGGGAGGCGCTAACTACACAGAAACTACTTTGAAAGTAACACACCTACTTGTTTACAGTTTTTGTTAGTAAGTGCAGTACAGTAGACAAAGCTAACAAATAGAAACTGTAAACAAGTAGGTGTGTGCATTTCAGAGTAGTTTCAGTTTTTGAACATTTTCAATCAAAAAAAACTTTTGTCTAGTTGACAAATTGAATCCTTTGCTATGCATTAGGGATTTTACAAACAAATAGGAAAACTGTTAGGAAAAGCTAGAAAAACAGCTATGAACATAAACTTAACTGTAATAAGTCATCCACCCATCACCCACTTTGTCCACTTTCTTTTTGTTTCATGTGCGGACGAAGAGGAGGAGGAGGAGGAGGAGAAGGAAGAAGAGGGTCCGAGGGTCCCGCATCATTTTGAGATGAGTTTTTGACAAAGACTTGAATGTATGGTTTCTTTTCTTGAAGATGCTACTTAAGTGTGCTGCTTATTTTCTGCAGAAAAGTGACGATGGATATTCATTCTGTCAGCAACTTTTGGGATGTACTTTGCAGGTCATGGTCAGTCATTAATGGAATGACAGTTTCGTCAATCTGAAAAAAAAAATAAAGAGAATGTATTAAATCATATAATCAAGCATACAAATGAACACACCAAGGCTTCACATTTGTGACACCCTGGACATATTTGCTATAAAAAGACACCCCACAATAAATTTTTATTTGGTAATGTTCTGACTGTATTTTGGTTAATTTATGTGTGGCACTAATTCACTTTTAATTATTCTTATAATTAAAATACCAAATATAATTAATACAAAATTAATCCAGTAGGTGTTGGTAATGGCACAATGACCTTTATTGTTTATATTATTGTATTACTATTGTGTATAATATTAATGTATAATTCCAGTTTATATTGCATATGTAATTTCAAGTGCAGGTGGTACAAAGTATTAAGTATGGGGTTGCTTTTATGGGCTTACTTTTTATAGGGTTACTTTTGTCTCATTAATATTCACAAATGCACAGATGGTGATCTACAAATAGTCATTGGTTTGTACATGTATTTTATATCCACAAATGCCAATTTAATATTTGTAACTTGTATTTTGCTATTTACAAATAGATGGGCATTTGTAAATATATATTTTTTCATTTGCAAAAAATAATTTCATTTATAAAACTGAAAATTCTGTTTGTAAAATGTGATTCGCATTTGTGGATCACCAGTTCCATGAATCCACCGATTCCCGGTATGACATAATTTTGAGACGCTCAAACTCATAACAGATCCACAAATACAGACACGTTCTTGACCAGCAGGTGGCAGCAGCTGGCACGCGAGACATTTGACTGTTGAAATGGAAGCGTTTCTTGCTAACTTAACGTCACTTAGGCAAATGTTTACCTTTATCAAACGCCTCAACAGCTGAGGACTAAACCAGAACTGAACCAGGACCGAGTGTCTGAACGACCGGAGTTGTGCCCGCGGTGGCGGTGGGTGGACCGGCTCAGAGCTCCGCGCCCCGCGGGGCTGAACGCTGCCGTCACCGAAACGCGCTCCGCGGATTTGTGGTCCTCTTTCTCTCGCTCGCTCGTTCGCTCGCGCTCTCTCTCTCGCCTTCTTTCTTTCAAGTCCAGGACTAATCTTTGTGGAGAGAGAGGGGACGGGGTCCTGGTTTAGTCCTGTTTTAGTCTAGTTCAGTTCTGGTTTAGTCCTTAGCTGTTGAGGCGTTTGATAAAGGTAAACATTAGCCTAAGTGACGTTAAAAGTTAGCGAGACGCTTCCATTTCACATGTTTCCATTTCGCATAAGTTACACACTGTATTGGCTCTGGATGAAATAAATCGAGGGGTTTCTTGTCAAACTGTTGTGGCCCTCTTTATTTTTTTTTAGCGTATTGTCCAGCATAGCGTTAGATTTACGAAATGTTTATTACGTGGTCGTTAGCATATAACTTCATTTCGATGCTAATCGCTACGTCAATGAACAATAAAAAAAACAATTCTACATGTGGCAGTGATTTTTATCAGGCTCTGGTGTTATTCACGTGTAGTTGAGTGGTTGTAAGTCTTCAAAACAGTCCTGGTATTTCATTGTTTGTGGTGATAGATGGCTAACGCTAAGACGAAATTGGGGCTAACACTGGGTCTATACAGGTCTATTCGCATTTCATCCAAATCGGTATCTTACATTCTACATGGATGTGTGTTTGGCACTTGTATTGTAGGCTATAGATGTTACGAGATCAATGTTCTGAGGTGGAAAAACAGAGAAACTTACATTTTCATCCTTCAGTGTCTGGATGACTCCCTCCTCTGTGTTACGCTCCCTCAAAAAAGCAGCAGTTGAGCATCTATTGCTACATGAACACACGGTAAACAATTAGGACAATTTTACTGTCACTTTACTCCATAACATTTCCACTATAAGCAAGCAGCATTAGCTCGCTAGTATTTAAGCTAGCATTTTGTTTTGTTTTCTTATTTAGCTATAGCATGCACACTGTGCCACGCTACTACACGATCCTGGATTTTATATAAGTATACATTTACATAAGCATACATTTGAGTAGGGAACAATATACGTTGTCAAAATGGGGGGGAAACATATAAATAATGATATATCTTACCTTTATTTGTGTCTGCTGAAGTCCGAGGTCCAGCTAGCCATGCAAGAAGGACTTGCCAACTCAACCGAACACCATGCCCTGTTTGTTTAATTGGCGACATTTTCTTAATTCGTGGGAACGATTTAGCTAAAATGTGGGAACGATATAGCTAAAACGTGCGAACGATATATCTAAAACGTGCGAACGATTTAGCTAAAGTGTGGGAACGAATTATATATTGTGGGAACGAAATAGTATTTTGAGGCCACGATTTAATATCTTTTTTCGCGTACGTGATCGGGATGTCATCGGGCGGGCTCCATAGTTTTCCCATCACTAGGGGTCTCTTAGCATAGTTTTATGTACATATGTTGCAGACTTCATGCAGGCAGCCGGAGCCCAGGCCGAGCTGTTCTTCTGGCTCACGGTGGAGGGATACAGGGTGACCGCACAGCAGCAGCTGGAGGCCATGCACCTATGGAGTCGAGATGGAAGGAAGCAGCCTGCCACCACCAAGGGCCTTCTGAAGGCTGCAGCGCTGGGCGTCTTTGAGCAGTACCTGTCTGAGAAGGTATGTCCATTCCATCCACTCCTTTCTCTTTGAGCTAGGACCAGCTCATCCACGAAGTGATCTCTGACTTTATGTTCCACAGGCATCTCCAAGGGTACACGTGGATGAAATGTCAATCACTAAACTTGGAGAGAAACTGCAGAAGGATGAACCCACTCCAGAGATATTTGATGACATCCAGAGGAAGGTCGCATTTGTGATGTTTTTACATCTTTCCCCACACCACTTTTTCTGTACATGACAAGAAGGTTGTCTCATAAAGACCCATCTGTGCATCATGTGTAAACTGCTCTGTGTACTTTTGAATTTCTCATTAGCAGTGTTGGGAAATAACTACATGCTTGTACCAAAAATACATTTTCATTTGGTGCTACTGAGAATAGAATTTCCTGAAATCAAACGAATACATTGTGGGACACAGTGTGGTAGACAATTGAAGCTTTCACATTATTGCTTATTGGGGTCAAAATAAATATTTTGCCCTAAATAGAATTGTAATATATCCAGATTTGACAGACCCGTTTCTTTGCTGTGTATTGGACAGGTGTATGACATGATGCTCCGGGATGAGCGTTTCTACCCCTCCTTCAAACAGAGCCCGCTGTATGTGCGCATGTTGGCAGAGCTGGACATGCTGAAGGAACCCAGCTACAGGGGCTCAGACGACGGGGAGGGCGAGTCTTATAATGGCTCCCCCACTGGAAGTCTCAACCTGGTATGGCCAGAATTTCAGCAGCAGAGCACCATTATGAAACTGACAAAAGTTCCCTACATTTTGTGTTTTAGTCTCTGGATGAACTGTCCAATTCCTGCCATGATGAGTCTATGCATCTCCACGCCTTCATCTCAGACACAGGTGCATACACACTTGTGCATACACTAGGGGTGTAATGGTACACAAAAATCACGGTTCAGTACGTACCTCAGTTTTGAGGTCACAGTTCGCTTCATTTTCGGTACAGTATGGGAACCAAGCCATTTGCTTTGTGTGTTTATTAAACCAACAATTTGTTTTATCATTATACAAACGGCAAACTAAGATAAATGCAAAGTGCTGCTTGGTAATACTTATAAATAAAATAAATAAATAAAATATTATAAAAAATAAATTCCTTGTAAACAGGAAACTTTTCAAAAAGTAAAGCACAGCACTTAACAGTTCCAGCATGAAGTTTTACTCAATGTTCATATTTTTGGCGAGAGAAAAAAACAACTTGTCCACGTGCCAGCAAAAGGTGAGAATGAGGACCATGGCACGACAACCATAGTTTTGCGAGGATTAACGTGGTTATGAGGCAATTGTTGTTAAGGCGGCAACCCTTAAGCGCTGCGGAAAACACTGCCACCCCAATCACGGACGAGTTCCCTCGTGAATATTAAAGAGCCAAGCTTTCCATGTAGCCGCACATTTAGTGTCAGAAGGTAAACAGACACAAATTGTGCAAATTCATTCGTGCACAGCCGCGTACCGATACGGTTTGGTACGAATACATGTACCATTAAACCCTTAGCATACACACATCCTGTATCTGCACTCACCCCTAGGGCAGACAGCACTTACATGTCTGCCACATACAGCTGCTTTTATTCCTTTACTGTCTCATTCCATCATTTCATTGCCTTCATGCCCTTTTGTTTTTCTCCTCCTTTTCTTTTTGCTTCTTTTGCATTTCACTCCCCTCATGTGTATTGTTCCTTTTGTGTCCCGTGACTATCTCCACGCCATGTCTCCCTCTTTCCCCGTGTCCTTGTGCCCCTGCTACTTTCTGTTCCATCTGTGTTCTGCATCTGTATGGCTGTATTGAGAATGTAGTAGCTGATGCTTTTGTCCCGGGCCTCTGGGCTGCCACAGGGGTGTGTAATGACCATGGTAAGACCTATGCACTCTACGCCATCACAGTCTTCAGGCGCAATGTGGATGGCAGTGAGGACTGCTGGAAGACATACCGCCGCTACTCAGATTTTCATGACTTCCACATGAGGATCCTAGAGCAGGTAGGATCTGTGCTACTTAGTGCGGACCCCTGCCCTCTCTAATTTGGCTTATCCTATTCTCTTCTTCTTTTGCCAGTTTGAAAATCTAGCATCTATCTTAAGACTGCCAGGCAAAAAGACCTTCAACAACATGGACCGAGAATTCTTGGAAAAGAGGAAAAAAGACCTCAATGCATACCTGCAGGTAGAAGGCTGGTCTGTGTAATTTAGCCATTGTACTAGTAGTGCTTTTGACTCATTTGAGCTGTACTTTATAGTTGCTCCTAAACCCAGAGATGGTGAAGGCCTGTCCTGCTCTCATTCCTTACGTGTATGACTTTCTGGAAAATAAAGCCTACAGTAAGGGCAAGGGAGAGTTTGCACGGAAGGTAACTTCAATCCACCTACCCTAAAAGATAACTAACAGATCATCATAACTCATCAAAAATGAGGACAGTATGAGCGTTTCATGCATGCCTTCTATGATGATGTATTTGAAGACATTTGTAACAGAGGCAATGGAATTTTGGGACCTGATCATGTCTATAATATATATATTTATCTACCAATATATTAATAAAGAGCTTAGTGAAGGACTAAAGTGGGGCCTACCCCAGCAGATAAAGCATCACAGCTGCTCTATATTTTCAGTTTATGTGATTACCACTGCATTGCCCAGTCTCCCAGGCATGAACTGGATGAATTACTTTATTTGTGGAAAGGCAGGGCTTTGCAGTCAGCAGACTGAGCAGTGATGCATCATGCAGATGTTTGTAATGTATAACCGATACTTGTTTTGTTTTATCTCAATACAAGACAATCTTTTATAGTGAAGCATTTTGCAACACCTAGTCGTGTGTTCACGAGGAAATATTTGTCCCACCTCTTTTAGATTGACACCTTTGTAAACCCTCTGAGAAGCTCCATGAGAAACGTGTCTAATGCTGTGAAAGCGCTGCCTGACAGTTTGGCTGAGGGCATGAACAAAGTGTCTGACAACATGGGCCGTATGTCTGAGCGACTGGGCCAAGATATCAAGCAGTCTATCTTTAAGGTACAGCCCTCTTTGTTCTCCTGATGACACGTCTCACTCTACTCTTTGTTCTACTGATGGTCTATCTCTCCTTAGGTACCTCCACTCCTCCCGAAGCCTGAGCTGGACCCAGAGCATTGCCGTGTGTCGGCGCAGCTGGATGACAACGTGAGTGATGTCTTGGTGGGAGTTTTGTTGTGCACAACTGACGCCTCCAGTGGGTGGGTCAAATGGGGATTATAGGCAATATAATTGGATAGAAAGAGCTTTCTTTTTGTTTTCCATTGCTGAGACAACTTTAACCCTAAATGAGTGAGGGATTACACATCCCAAATAATTTCTTTAAGCATAAATGACAACATGGATGTACTTAGTTGATGCAAGTAACTGTTCCTCTGCACAGCAGTCCAGACTACAGGTATATGAAGCATGGAGCAGTAGCAGACAGGTTATTCAAAGCTGGTCAAACTGCATGACTCTCAGGAATGTTGCACATTGTACCAACTGTTCCTGGGCTCGACATATGCCCTTTAGCTAGTGTAATTCGAAATTGCTAAACTAACAAACAGAGAAGGAGATCTAAGGCACTCAGGCATGAAATCCAACATCCCTCTTTGTCACTATAGGAACACTCTTAAGGCATTTCAAGAACAAATGGTCTTCTTCAGGGCATATATCATGTGTCTCTTAGTCATGATGTGTGCCCTGCTTTAAGCTAGAGTGTCTCAGTTCTCCCTCTTCTGTTGATACGAGTGGCCTCGTGCATAACCACATAATGATGACAATAGATGGTGAAACTTGGACTTCATTGTAACTTGTGTGTGTTTTCCATGTGACTCTTGCTCATGATGACCTGGACATCATAAGCACATGTTTTAGGCACTGTATTCATGTTTAGTTCTTATGAATGTAGGTGGATGACAACATTCCACTGAGGGTTATGCTGCTGCTCATGGACGAGGTGTTCGACCTGAAGGAGAAAAACCAGTGGCTGCGGAGGAACATCAAGAACCTGCTGCAGCAGCTGATCAGGGCCACCTACGGAGACACCATCAACAGGTCACTGCTTCTCCTCAGCTGTGTGTGTGTGTGTGTGCGCTTTGGGTCAGGCTTAACTCTGGAGACTTCTCTTTTGGACTGTAGGAAAATAGTGGATCATGTTGATTATATGACATCGCCGGAGCAAGTGGCTGACTATGTGAAAAAGTTCAGGTAAAAACCTGTAAGAATCATACATTTGCAACATGAGCAACATTAGCCTATACTGAGCACCAGTTTGACACAGGGACTCATACTGGCCAAACGGGATCCTGGCTGAAACTCCTCCACGCAGGGACAAGAATGTTCAGATGAGGACCCGAGTAGCAGCCAAAACCAGTCTGCTGGGCATCATGCCAGGTATGGTTACAATTGTCCTCCCTCTGTTTGAGTTCTCGTCTGCACATTTGTTCAAATAACATGGTAAAGGTAACCCCCTAGTGTAGTTCTGGAGGGTTTTGGACCACTGTAACTCTCCTCCTTGGTTGGTTTAAAGTATAGTAGTATCGCAGTGCTTCATGTTTCTAAATTTAAACTTTTTATATGACTCATGTTTTCTTCTTTAATGACTCTAAATGCTAAGTCATGCATGTCTTGTTCTTTTGGCCTTTATATACAACTCATTCTAACTAGAAAATGTTTACAGGCAAAAACAAACGTGATAGATTAGCATCAGATGAATTGGGCCTATACTTGAATACAGGAGCAAAACCTGAATTTGAGCCTTCACAAGGTGAAAAATTATTATTATTTTTATTTTATTTAAATCCTCGTTTCATCTTTACAGATGCTGATTATAAAAGAATGACAACTTTGCATATTCGTTTTTTGAAATGGGTGCATTGGAGGCAGCTCAAAAACAGAGGAGAATCCTACACACCATCTTATTTGCAAATTGTGAATTTTATTAGTACATCAACAACTTTTCAGCACTATACCTTCATCAGGCAAAAAATGGTCCTAATAAAATTCATAATTTGCAAGTAAGATGGTGTATGGGATTCATCTTTGTAGCTGCTTGAATTTTGACTTTTGAGGTCCTTAAAATGCTACCCTCTGGAAAAGATGCATGTAAACTATAGACCCTGTATGATATTTAAAGGACACACACAGAAATTGTAGGCCAGGTTTTCTAAAAATTTGAAATAATAAATTTGATTTAGGCAAATAAAAAGACCGCTACAAAAAGACCTAAGAGGCCACAAAGACAGGTTAACCTGTTAAACTTCTATCATTGCACATGTTATAGCTCAGGGTTTCATTGACAAATATGTACTTTACATGATGAAAAAGATCTTTTTTTTATTTGACATGTAGCAGCTTAGCAGGCGCAGAGTCATCTATTTAAAGTTAGGCTATGTGATTGATATGGGTCCAATTAGGCCCATAGGAAGTATTTCTTGTGGAATTGGAGCATGTTGGACACTGTTCAATGTTCACACTGATAGCTCTGTGCTTCCATTGCCCTAAACACCCACTCAGTGCTCACACCTGGATTGCACTGCCCAATTAGCTTGAAAGTGTAATTCGCCTGTGCCGCGTTTAGTGTGAACATAGCTTAATGCTCTGGAATATAGCATCTTACATTCAGTTTGAGTTGTTGCTCCCTCTGCAAAGGGCCTGAGGCTCTTTTGGAATATTCCACACATTTACAATATTCAGGTCAAACAGAGGTCTCTAGATACACAGGGACACATTGTCAATTTCTGCCTACAAACCAGATATCCTCCTTTTTGATAACCCCAATGAGGTCACCCAATATAAGATATAACTGACCAATATTGTTCTTGTTTATGAGAGGTTCAGCACTGCAATTAAGTAACCTTCCAGAATAACATTGATGTTATTGTTTCAGATGAGCTGAAGCACATCATTGGGGCAGATACCACACGGAAAGGCATCCTGAGGGTCTTTGACATGTTCCAGTACCAGCCCATGAACCGCCGACTGGTCTATGTCTTCCTCGAGGGCTTTTTAGAGACCATGTTTCCCCAATACAAGTTCCCTGAGCTGTTTGTAAAACTGCACTCCCGCTCACCACGCATCCACAGATACAGTCAAAAACTGAAGCCCTGCGCTCTCAAGAGGTGACAGGAGCAGCCCAGTGACAGGAGCAGCCCAGTGACAGGAGCAGCCCAGTGACAGGAGCTCGCCCAGTGACAGATGGCCCTGTGAGTTCTCACATGCGGACTGATGCACCTGACTTGCAGATGTAGCGAGTAAAATGGGGGACTGCAGCACCAAACTAAATCATGGATTTGGGGAGACAGATGCCCCTGCTTTTTATTTCTGTGGAGCCGAACAGTGCTGCTGCTGCTTCTGCTCCTGGGTGGAGACTCTTAAAAGCCGTAGAAGGTTGCATTTGAGACACTCCTGCCTTACCTTCCTACTTCTGTCCATGTTCTGAACCTTAGAACATTAGAAACCAAATATGTCAGTACCACTGAGCAAAGGTTCAAATGTTACTGAAGTATTTAGGTGAACATTTCCTGTTTGCAAGTTCTGTGTCTAGAGTTTAGAACGTCAGTGTGAAGACTGAGCTTTAGAATGTCTCTCTCTGTGACTGAGAAGTGTGCGTGTCCTCTCTGCGATTGAGAGATGTACCTGTATGTGTGCGTATCTCTGTGATTGAAAAGTGGGCGTATGTGTGCAGGAGTGTTCCCTGAGTGAAGAAAATGTCTGAACATGTATTTTAATGGCTTTTATTTGTCTTCACTTTGTGCAATATTTTTGTATATGACTACATTGCATGTGCATTAAAGCATATATATTTGAATATTTCAATAAATCCTTGTAGACCTTTTAAAAGTTTAGAAACAAATACTTTCTAAATACCAGAAATTAGACAATACATGATTTGTTTGATCTGAGATTAGGTTAGACATTTGCCACTTTTGATAAAGTCAAAATTCAAAGTTTATGTACCCTGGAAATTGTTGCTTATTTTTGTTATTTTATCAATGAGTTAAATCTTTTATATTTTTTTCACTTTGCCTCCAGCCATCTCCATTGCATAATTTGGAGCTTTCTGAGGACAGATCGTTTTAAAGGGTCTATAGGGTTTTCTGTAAAACATTCCTTTAGTATGGCTGATGACGCCAGGTGACCGACTGCTGCTGTGTGTTGTCCTGTTGCAGCTCTTTAACTACAGGGCAGTGTCACTTTCTCTGGGCATTAAGAAATTTGCAGAACGCCCATGTCCTCCAATCAGCCGATGAGCACTTACTGACGACAGTTGTACATACTGTATCTGTGTACAGACTCTGTGGGTGTGCCTAAATGTGTTGTCTATTCTATTTTCTTTTTTTCTTTTTTTTTTTTTTTACCAAAAAAGTCCATGTCATCACATTTTATGTGACTGAAAATGACTTCTTGGTGTTTTTTGCCTCATGCTTCTGATTACTGTGAGCAGCAGCATCACACTAATAAAGTTACTAGTGAGCCGCTGTGTGGCTACATGTGACGTGTGTTTGACAAATACTTGAACACTATGGTGCACAATGAACAAGAATCTGCTTTCACTTCTTTCACTCACTTTCAGAACACCAAAGTACTATATTATAATGTACTACAATGTAATATATTGTAAACACATTATTCAGATGAATATATTGTAATTACATCATTCCTCATTTTAAAAAAGTAGTTCAAAATTATATATTCTTACTACAAATGTTCTAAAGTGTTTTATCTTGATATATTCTTAATTATACAAATATATATATATATATATATATATTTATTTATTTATTTATTTATATTCATATATATATTTAACACACAGAGAATATATTTTAAAAAGTGTCCTCACCTTCCACAGTGGTTGGTCTCTCTCCCTCTCATTCCACTTGGGTTGAGACCTGTTCCCAGTACTGCACTATTCTTGACTGAGATGGATGGATGTTGTTTTTCCTGGTATCTGTTGTAGCCACTCTTCCAGTTTGGGGGTTACAGCCCCGAGTGCTCCGATCACCACAGGCACCACTGATGCCTTCACCTTCCAGGCTTTCTCCAGCTCCTCCTTGAGTCCCTGGTATTTTTTAGTTTCTCATGTTAGTTTAGTTTTTCATCATGTATTGTGATGTCCACCACCACTATGTCTGGTTGTTGCCATCACCATCCTGTCAGTCTGTATCTGGAAGTCCCACAGGATCTTGGCTTGGTCATTCTCCACAACCTTTGGATGTGTTTCCCACCTTGACCATGGGGTCTCCAGCCTGTACTCTGCACAGATGTTTCTGTACACTATGCCCGCCACTTGGTTATATCGCTCCATATATACTTTCCCTGCCAGCATCTTACACCTGCAGTCATGTGCTGGACTGTCTCTGGAGTCTCTTTGCACAGTCTACACCGTGGGGCTTGTCTGGTGTGGTAGATCTGGGCCTCTATTGCCCAGGTGCTCAGGGCCTGCTCCTGAGCAGTCAGGATGAGTGCCTCTGTGCTCAACTTCAGACCAGCCCTCTCAAACCATTGGTAGGATTTCTTGATATCAGCCACTTCAGTTATGTTCCGGTGGTTCGCCCCATGTAGGGACTTGTAATGCCATGATGGTCCCTCCAGCACCTCTTCCTCTGGACCCCACTGTCTGAGACATTCTCTGAGCACCTCATCTGTCAGGGCCTTGTCCTTGATGTACTCAAGGAGCTTAGATGTTTCATCCTGGACAGTGGTTCCCACACTCACTAGTCCTCGGCCTCCTTCCTTCCAGCTTGCTTACAGTCTCAAGGTGCTGGATTTGGGATGGAACCCTCCATGCATGGTCAGGAGCTTTCGTGTCTTAACATCTGTGGTCTGTATCTCCTCCTTTGGCCAACTTATTTTTCCTGCTGGGATCTGATCACTGGCAGGGTGTAGCTGTTGATTGCGTGTGCCTTCTTCTTGCCATTGAGCTGCTTCTTAGGACTTGTCTCACTCTTTGCAGGTATTTGGCTGTAGCCTCTTTCCTTGTGGCCTCTTCGAGGAGCCATTTGTTTGTGGGATACCAAGGTAACTGTCCTCAGCGTCTGCTATTGTTCCCTCTGGGAGTGCGACCCCCTCTGTGTGGACTACCTTCCCTCTCTTTGTCACCATCCTGCTACATTTCTCAAGCCCAAATGACATTCCAATGTCTGTGCTGTAGATCCTGGTGGTGTGGATCAGTGAGTCGATGTCTCGCTTGCTCTTAGCGTACAGCTTGATGTCATCCATGTAGAGGAGGTGACTGATGGTGGCCCCATTTTGAGTCAGTATCCGTAGCCAGTGCGGTCGATGATTTGGCTGAGGGGGTTCAGACCTGTGCAGAACAGCAGTGGGGACAGTGAGTCTCCCTGGTATATGCCACATTTGATGGACACTCGTGCAAGTGGCTTCCCATTGGCTTCAAGGGTGGTTTTCCACAACTGCATTGAGTTTGCAATGAAGGCCCTTAGAGTCCTGTTGATATTGTACAACTTTTCACTGTTGTCCAGCAGGGGCGCAAAGACTCCCCCCCAAAAACATTTAAAATGATATTACAAGCACAGGTTTAGTCTGATCGTGCTGAAATTTGAATCACTAATGTGTGAGATCAGCCTGAATATAATACACTAATAGTGAAGTGAATAGAGAAGTGAACACTATAGATGGTTTTCGATCGAGAAAAATGCCCGGATGTAAACGCAGAAGGTCGGCCATGTTTGTGGGCAGCCGTGAATTGTGGTATTGAGCTATTTGCACTTGACTGTGACATATTTGTATTTATTTATTATTGTTTTTATATAAAAATGGTGAACAGTTGTTGTGTATATGTCTGCCACAATAGATTTAGTAAAGATGGCAAGTCATATTACTCAATTCCAGCTGTTATAAAAAATCAAGGTGACAAAACTACGGAACTAAGTGAACGGAGACCTGCACAGTGGATTTCATGTTTAAACAGGGCAGATTTCAAGCCTTCAAAACACACAAGAATCTGCTCTGATCACTTTAGAAGTGGTAAGTTAAATATTATTTTAAGAATTAGTGGCTCTTAAGGAGAAACAATAGAGCAATTGCTAATTAGCATAGCATAACAGTGCTAGCGACTGCATTTCAAGCAGTAAACCAAATTAACTTCATTGAAATTATGAACTGGAAACACTTTAACAGTAATAATTTTTATTGCTAAGCATAAATGCTTGCAAATAACATGTATTTTGTTAAACAATTACAGGAAAGCCTGCAAGTCTTCATGATGAAACACATCCTGATTGGGCTCCGTCAGTCTCCATGGGATACACGACAGCAACAACAACAGATGAGCGCTACAACCGTCTCAAAGCCCGGAAAGTTAAAATTGCCACCGCAGAATGTTCTCAGACACTGCTCAGGTTAGCAGAAATTGATGAGACAGAGACTGCACCACACTCTAAATTGGAGTCAACTGAAAGCGAGCCGTTACAGCCGGTCTGCAAATTTGATCTCCTGGGCAGTTTAGAAGGCAATGAGATGTGTCCAGAAGATAAGGCTGTGTCTGTCAAACTTAGTGCAACTGCAAATTAAGAAATTAACTGACTATTGGTTGAGAATCTGGAACTTAAATTGCAAATTTCCAAAATGGAAATTAATGAGGCCACATTCAAAGATAATGATGATAAGGTGAAATTTTACATGGGCCTCCCAAATTATATGATGCTCATGTCATTGTTCTCATGTGTGAAAAACCACATCAAAGATCCAGTCAGGTCAAAGCTGAACCCATTCCAAAAATGTATTTTGGTGCTCATGAAATTGAGACTGAATCTTCATGTTCAGGACATTGCTTATCGGTTCAACATTTCACAATCAACAGCCTCCAAAACTTTCACAGTAGTAGTAGATAAGATGTACTGGCGGATGAAGAGGATCATTCAATGGCCAGAGAGAGACCAGCTTCGCCTGACAATGCCAATGGAATTTCGGTGTGCATTTGGTCTAAAATGTGCTGTTCTCGTTGACTGCTTTGAAATTTTCATTGAACGCCCCTCCTGCCTGGAGGAAAGAGCTGGAACATGGTCCTTCTATAAACATCACAACACAGACAAGATTCTCACTGGCATTTCTCCTCAGGGTTCCATCTCGTTCTTGTCAGAATTCTGGGATGGTCATGCTAGCAACAAACACATTACAGAAAACTGTAGACTTCTGGACAAGTTGATTCCGAGTGATATGATTCTGGCCGATCAAGGTTTTAACATTCAGGATGTGGTTGGTGCTTGTGGTGCGGAGGCCAAAATTCCAGCATTTACAAAAGGCAAGTCACAACTATCACCGCTAGAACTTGAGGCCACCAGGAAGATCGCTCACCTGCGAATTCATGTGGAACATGTGATATAACTGTTGAGGAACAAGTACACTATTTTGCAAGCCACTCTGCCAATAGACTATTTGACATGTGATGAAGGTCAAGTGCCAACTGTTGAGAAAATACTGATTGCTCTGATCAACTTAAATAATTCTCTAATTCCTTTCAACTAGATTGTTTTGAAGTGGGCTAGGTACTCAGAAAGGTCGTTCTGTGTCATTAAATGTTATAGTAAGGTTCCAACTTTGAAAATGTATTTAGTTACAGAATACTGAATACTTGCATTAAAATGTATTTTGTATTGTATTCCTTTACTTGGCCAAATCAGAGTACAGAATACTTTCATGTTAAATTACATTATATTTAGACTGTAAAAAAACATGACATAAGATTAAATGGCCTTTTCATTTTTGGTTAACAGTTTACTATGCAGTTATTTATTACGTTTTTGTAATATTATGTTTAGTTTTTTTATATATGTATATATATCAAAGAACAAAATAAAATGTTCTTTACTATTTTACATGTTTACTATTTTTTATCTTGTGCCCAACTTTAAAAGCTCCAAAAATAAGTGCTGCTTGAATAATCAAGGTAATGCAGAAAAACATGTCACTGAAGTTTATCTTTACACACTAGTCTAGAAATGAAACCAGTACAGAGACAATGATCAAACATTATGTTAACATTGTGAAAATCCAATGAAAAGCCTATGCCTTCAGTTCAACCTAAATTAACCACACCAACCTCTACATCAAACCAAGTAGAGTAAACACACCAGTAAACATGTCAAATATAAAACATGCATAACTAACCCATTTCAATACAATGATTTCTTGCAATTCAATGTCTTATTTACAAACCAACAAATGCAAAAGTAGTGTAATTTGCAAGAAATCAAAACCAAACTGAATACCACTGCATTTATAAAACATTTAAAGGCAATTTAATGCATTTGGAGAAAAACATACAAGTATAACACATGTAGCAATGCTTATGTTTTCTTATTCTACTTGCCTTCTTTTAATTGAGGCAGCTTCCCACAGGTAGGGCAGTACCACTTTTTTGATCGAGGTGCACTCTTGAGGTTGACGCAGTGAAAATGAAACCATTTATTTTTTACAGCTATCATAGTCACATCTAACAACATCATCTCCTTCGATGTACTTTTTTTGGCAATA